CGACGACGTAGCCCTTGGTGCCTTTTAGAATGCCACGCTTCCGGTCGAGGTGATCTGTTGCACGGACAGGCATGCCGACGCACAACGGCAACACGCCGTACAGTCCACCGCACTCTTTGTCGTGTCGCTGCAACCATTGCAATTTCTCCGTCGTCAAATTCGGCTTCTCCTGCACGACCACAGACGACGCAACATCTTGCGCAACAAATAAATACGGTTGCTTGTCTCTGGCATTCGCCCACTGTATGGCGCGAAGCTTGTTCACGTGGTATTTGATGTCGTTGGTGCCGAAAATCGCGACCGCATCTGCAAATTCCTTCTGGAACCGTGTGTCCGCAGCTCCTTGCGCCACAAGTATGCGCGAACGGCGATCCGCCGCACAGTAGCTGCATTCGGCCTCTTGTATGGCTTCTGGAATTAGGCCTTGTGTAGGCAACGCGGCGCAACTTGGTTGTTGGCACGTCGCCTGCCCAGCAATCCAGCTGCCTGGCACTGTGGTAGGCCGCCCGTGCAGAAAGCGATGGTTATTGTCGGACAAGTCACCATGGCGCAGTTGCTCACGCGCCACAGAAGATATGCCCAGGGGTCGGCGGCAGGGGGCGGAGCCCTTTAATATTCTGGCATTCTATCTGGCATCTATTCTGGCATTCTATCTGGCAAGTGTTCGGGTCCAGGCAGGCATGGCCAGCTGCCTCCGGAGCTGGCGGTAGGGGATAGAGTTCGGGTCCAGGCGTGGCCTACTGCCTCCGAGAGGCAGAGGAGACGAAGAGGAGAAGGAGTTGCACCTTTGTCAAAATCTAGAGACCCTCACCTGGCAGGTGGGGGAAAATTGCATGTATGTACATATAATATATATATATAATATATACTCGTATAAGCAAAATTTACCTTGGGGTCCCCACATTGTAGTATTGTTAATTCCTCACTCAAATCTGTTGACTGTCAGAGTGCTCTTCGTCTGGCAGTCGTTTGAGATGCAACTCAGCGGCTGGTACAGAACTTGGCACACCTAAACGGGGGTGGAGAAACGAAGCTGCCGTTGGTGGTTTCTAGTTTCAATCTATTGGAAAATACAATCATTACGGGTGATCATCCTAAACATGATTATATCATATATATATGTATATGTATATATATATATATGAATATATATATATATCTCTCTCTCTCTGCATGCATCTATCTTAGATAATTAGGGAAAAAGTTCTTGAAATCTCGAAACTACTGTAAAAAACAAACCGGCAAGGGTTCTTCCTTTGTTCTGATGCACACTTCTGAATCAAACAGGGTTTCTAGTGTACCAGTCAGATTATGTAAATGATGTCCCGGTAAAAGGTCAAGCAAAGAACAGCAATTACACAAATTTCCATCAATTTCCTATACATTTTGGAGAGTCCAAACTCAGAACTCGACGGAGCCAAGAAACCGAGACGTCCAAATTGCTGGCTGCCACGTACTGCAAGCCATTTTGAAAGGAATACAGGGCAGCAGGGATCAACCTAGGGAGTCGAGTGGACCGAACCTTCGGACCTCTACGACCGCAGGCCCTCCAAAAATCTATTGAATATAGTCGGTTGGACATACTATATCAATTTTGAATGACGGCAGTAGTATATCAAAAGCGAGCCAGCATTGGAGCCGAATTTGTGAGAACATGAATTAAAACATATTCAAATCAAACGTATGACATGGTCAGACGCCTCGTTCAAGCCGATTGAACTGCGAAAGGGAAGGTGTTTCATGGTGTTTCCATGGCCAATCTTATCAGGTATCCTGCAAATTCCTGCTGTTGTCTGCTGATTATCGCTGAATCGAAAAAACATCCTGCACAATTTCCGGAGGTCGCTTAACTTAGATTGTAAAACACTGGTGCGAAGATAGCTCCGATTGCAGATCAGAGCATGTATGGATATGGATTGGTTCATATAGTGGAAAAAATCTACGGAAAAAATACTTTTCACATTTTTTTTACCATATTAGAAACCAGGGTTTCCTGTAGATTTTCATGGGCCCAGTGTCAAGCACCATAGTTCGTTGAAGTCGTTCAGGGCCCAAGTCGCATGACCAGCGCATCCCGGGAGAAGAAGAGCTTCATCAACTCAGCAACGGGGACCCATGAAGTGAATGCGCAGATGCTAACAAGCCAACTCCAAGAATCAAAATGCCATAACCGTATAGTATATATGATATCTCTCTCCATCGCCATCCTCATCAGAAATGAATATATAAAATGACTACAGTAATTAAACAATAAAACAACAAACAACACATAAATCAAGAACATAATAAACAAAACATATATATATATATATTGACATGCGAATGCGAAATGAATGCATATGATTATATATACATAAACATGTATAAGAATTGAACTTGTGGTTTTGAAATGTCTGAAGCATCTAAGTCAACATGGAACCTTGTCTCAAAATAGGGTGCCCCAAAACCTCATGGTTGATCCATGTTGATCATCATTTCCTCCATGGAAATTGAAGCCGCCAATGCGGCTCCACATCGGGCAGTGAGGCAAACAGGCCAAACGGAAAGACTCCTGGGGAAGCCTGACTTTTCGCACCTTCAAAACATCACTGAAATCGGGAAGAAGTCCAGTTTTTTTTTGGGGGGGTGGCTATTGGGTGAAAATTGGTCGAAATTGGGGCATCAAAGGCCCCGCTTTGGGTTGGACAACTTTTGACCCAGACTTCAGTTTCCGGATCAAACCCTTGGATTCAAGCCCTACACGGTCATTGGTTTTTCTATGCCCAAACCTCGCCGATCTAAGACCAAACCGATCTAAACCTGAGAAATGTTCGAGTGACAATGACTTATTGTTGGCTTCTTTTCTGGGGACCTGGGCTGGGTGACAATTTTTTTTTCTCCTCCAAGACTTTCTGCAGCGGGGGCCATGTATGGCCACGCTGCTGCCTAGATGTCCGTGGTCCTCCGCAGCTCAGCTGGTCAAACATGGTCAAACTATACAGTTTCATGTTTACATATGACATAAGAAAAACCTACTCTTAATCTATATGCAGATGCCATATGCCTGCAATTCTAAATGACTGCATACACTGAAGTATGCCATGAAATGACCATGGAATTCAAACAGGGCATGCAGCTTCTCTCTCTTTCAGTCTTGCCGTCTTGCCCTGATGGACTGGTCATTTCCAAACTGCAGGCATTTCATTGCTGTAACAAAAATGGCCAAACCGTGCCTTGTCCCGAGTCCAATCTCATCCCTGTAGATTTTGGAGGATTGTGGTAGCCAGTCAGCTACTGGAATGAAGTAAACTTGGTGACTTATTCTTAAAGAAATGATGACTAATATATTTTTGTAAATGCTACTATTTTTTTAACTACTTGGTGAATATATTTTTTATCAAAAACTTGGTAAACTCATCTCTAACAAACCGCATGGAGCAGCGCTGCAGAACTTGCAGCTCTCCCACTCAGGTGCGGAAGCAGGACAGGACCACACATGGAGGTCCGCTGAGTTGGGAAGAGTCGCATTTCATTCGCAACGGGCTTAATCTCGCAGGTATTTGGAACAATCGGATGAAAACAAACCAGAGAAAAGGTGAGAGCTGCATCTAGTACAAGCAGGAGGTAAGAATGGCAATTCACCACAAAGCCAGACAGGGTTGTAGCCACTTTTTCCAAACACATAGAGATGTGTGCAAGTTGTCGACAACGGAATTTGCATTTTGGCAGGCCTTGAACGGCCGTAGTTCTAAATCACCTGAACAGATTGGTTTTTGGGCAGCTACCGGGGAAATGATCCTGGGATTCTCAATTACTTTACTTTACTTCGTGTGATCCCCACCATCACATTTATACATTTTCTTACTGGCAAATCTTCTGGCATTCTATCTGACATATCTTCTGGCATTCTATCTGGCAAATCTTCTGGCATTCTATCTGGCATACCTTCTGGCATTCTATCTGACATATCTTCTGGCATTCTATCTGGCATTCTATCTGGCATATCTTCTGGCATATATTCTGACATATCTTCTGGCATTCTATCTGGCATTCTATCTGGCATATCTTCTGGCATTCTATCTGGCATATCTTCTGGCATTCTATCTGCCCGTTGGGGTCCAGCAGTGCACACTGAGCTGGGAAGGTCGCCGGTTGAGGTCCAGCTGCACACTGAGCTGGGCAGATCCCAGGTTGAGGTCCAGCGGTGCACACTGAGCTGAGACGGTCCCTGGTTGAGGTCCCTGTGCACACTGAGCTGGGAAGTTGGCAAAGAGCTTGGCGAAGAGAGTTGGCAAAGAGCTTGGCGAAGAGTTGGCAAGGCGGAAGTGGAGGTGGAAGTTGATGCAGACATGGTCGAGGAGAAACTAGAGGAGGAGGACGAGGACGAGGAGGAGGACAGCTAGCCGAGGAGGAGGAGGAGAACAACTCTGATAAAATCTAACAACCCTCACCTGGCAGGTGGGGAAATAACATGTCAACCACCAATCACCTTGGTCTGTTTGGCAGGTTTTAGCGCATAGATATGGATCTATAACTAAAAAACTATATATGTATATACATGTATATGACCACGTTCATGTATATATTGATATGCCCGTGTACACAGACGTATTGTCATATTATATATATATGATATAGTATATGTAGTGTGCATTATTACTATTATTCATGTTTCTGTATACGATGTATGTATGTATATATATATACAGTATACAGTATATATTATATAATGAAGTTATGTAGCGAAATTGACGTTGCGTCATGTCGCAATCTCAGAGTGTGACTCTCTTCCCTGGACCCCTCTGAGCTTTTCGACACACTGAACCGCTTCCCTTATGGGAATCGGGCGGAAATTTCCCAGGATCAGGGGGGTCCCAGTCTGGCTGAGAACTGCAGTTGAACAACTATAGGGAAAAACAAAATTAAACATATAGATAACTGAGATACTTGTAGATAATCATAGATAACTAAGAGTCAGTCTCCAAGTCATTTCTTGTGTTATTTCTTGTGTCAAATTTGGATCAAATCTGGTTCTTCTGCATGAGATACAAACGCGCCGCGGCTGCACAGCAGTTCACCAAACGCAACTCTGGATCTCCATCAGCATCCTCCTCATCGGCCTGATGGACATGTTTCCTTCAAACTAGTGAAGAACAGTTGGTGGAAAGTCTTAGGTCATGAATGGTCATGCTTAGGGGCGCTGAAAACCACAACAGAAGGAAGACCTGGATTTTGGATGATCTGGGTGGAGCCAATATTGTTTTAGCTCCTTGGAACCTCTAAGGGTCAGCAACTTGGGAGTCACCGTGGGTATACGGTATATCCGACTCCATCTCGATGGTTGCAACTGATTGCATGTTGCGGCATGGGTCCAACTTCAATTGTTCCAACATAAATAATTTGAAGAAAAAACAACTGAACATATTGATGAATATTGGGTCTCAAACATAAATGAATGAATATATATATATAAGTTATAGTCTATAGTTATATATGCAGTACATGAAAACTATCATAAACAACTAGAGAAACAAAATGGTGAGCTCCTGGGAGATCCAATCCCAAAGCAGTGGATTCCAAAGTGATTTCATCTGCGAAAAAGTGGGGTTGATCAATCCTGGATAAATATACCCCACTGAGAGCAGCAATATGGAACATATATGGAACATATCTCTTCCCACATTGCCACGTTTTTTCACATCTGCATTCCCAAATTGTGGATCACACTTTGCGTCACTGTGATTGCATATCAGGGATGGTGCAACATTCTCACGATCACAATCATCCCAATGACAGTCGCAATATCCCAGGAATTGACAGGCAAAACATGGCAAAAAGCATCATGTCATGTAGACTTTCCCACCGATCCATTGAAATAGTTGCTTGAGTACCCGCCGACTGCTTATTGCACTCTATCCCATTCTATTTTTGCCATGACGTCATGTGCAACTGCATTCATAGATCTCCGTGATTTGGCCCCATCTCCCTCTACGATCATTTTCCATCGCCCTCAAAAAGCAGACCCAAAACGACCAGGGCCAATACTAAACCCATTGTTTCCGGGGGATGTAATAATACCAGGGTGGAAGGATGTGGATGTGCTTCAGATGGTCCCAAAATGTCCCAAAATGTCCCAAAATGTCCCAAAAACACAAGACGTATTCGCAGTAGATTCCTGAGATGATGGCAGGGGCTGAGCAATCCAAGATATTCAAACAATCACCAAGAATTGCTGGTAGTTAAATAGAGGTGACCTACCCCACTTTTAGCAACGGTATTTAAAGGTTATAAATTATAAATATTTACCATCTGGTATCAAACGCGGCAATGGACAATCCACCACCTATAGTTGGTTGATTGTCCTATAAACCCTTCCATTTGTAGGGATTCTCCCATATATTCCTGAGATTGTCCAAAATGTTCCCATTATATTCCCATTGGAGCCTCCATTTCCAATGGGGATTTCCTACCAGGGTTGTGGATCCCACACCTCAGCTGGACTCAGATTTGGCGAAGGCATCCAGGACCGGAGTACCTTTTCCTGGGCGGCATGGCCATGGGTTTTGGGCAGGTGGTAAGCCAGCAACATGGGACATCACCATCATCACCCGCCCGAAATGGGGAGATTAGGCCCAAAGCTTTAGGAAAACAATGGAAACACAATCTGATGCACTGAGTTTTTGTGGTTGAAGTTCATGTCTCCATCATGTGGAAATCAATTGGGAACATTGTCAGAGTCACAGGCAAAACTGAAAAACATGTTTGAAACAAAGGGTTGGGACCTAAACTACTGTAACTTGTAAGCATTCAGCAAGAGGAAGGCTATCTTCACTGAGGACAAATGGCCTGCGCCTCTGCCTCAGTATTGAAGACTGCAAAGACTGCATGCACGAGGTATCATGGCCAAGCAACTAGCCAATTTCCTTTCCGGCTGATTCTTGGAGAATAGGCCACTTCTACTCATCCCCAGTCATGCCCATGACCTGTTATGAGCTCGGTCCCATGTCAAAATGGGGACCCAGAATCCACAAACTTATACTCTATTTGGAGCAAGGACAGGTCGGGTTCCCATTACTGCCGCAGGTCGGGTTCGCGTGCGGTGAAGTGTCAACTTGAGCTGCATTCGGCCGCTCAGCAGGTACAGGCTTTAAACCTTGAGGAACGTTGTGGCTGGGCTATGCAGTTGAGACAATCATCCAAGTGCTGCAAGTTGGGTCACCCTTTGTGGGGTTCACCATTATTTGGCAACCCCGTAAGTTTTGTTTTGAGCCCACCAAAATGGACAATTACTGGGTTACTGGGGATCTCTGTAATATTGCTTCAAAACTGTTGACTTCCTTCGGAATTGGGGGGTGAACACTGCAAAACTGAATAGTTGTCAAACAAAAGAGCACATGACAATTTACAGGTAAATAACATAAAGGCAGGAAATCCCATCATTCGGGGGGTCCCTCACTGAAAGATCGGGCAAACCATAATTATTGAAGAAGCAATGATGATTGCACAATGGTGTTGTAGTCAAGTGAAACCTGCGAAAGCTCACGGGTTTCATGTAGTTGTTTCCCTCGTAGAGTTGTTCCCATCAACCAGTCCAGCAAACATCCAAGAAATCATCGCAATAGTCTTTGTTGGCATTTCAACAGCAATCCAAATGTATCAACTTGCAGCAACCCCCTACTGGAAATTCCGCCCATCTGCGCAAATGACTTCGAGGCACAAACCTCAACAAACCATTCTTGGTAAGATTCACCCTACTGACCCAATGTATTTGGTCTTGACCAGGAAGGAGCAATAACCACTCGCAAAGTGATAAACCACTCTCTGAATTGTTCACCCCCCTGGCTATGAAAGAATAGTCTTTAGAACATCCTGGGTTAACATCCCAAAGAATAGTACAGTATAGGACACGATACGTGTTTAAATCAACACATGTACACTCATCAATGGGTGCATGAAGATGCTCCAGCTAATGCCTATATATGAACATGGAGAAAGTGACGATAACCTATCAAAAGCTGGGACACAACATCTTCAAATAAACCTGCATGATCGAATAAAGAGCAAACTATGCGTTTTTTTTTGGTTATTTTATGGCAACTGTGCAAACAATACATAGCATTATTTGCTAAGGCTAATTCACTAAAATATATGCGAATGTATGTATGTATGCATGCATGTATGTATGTATGTATGTATCTATGCATGCATGCATGCATGCATGCATGTATGATCATGCATGTATGTATATGTATGTATATAACCAATTACTTGAGGCCCACTGCTAAGGTTCATATGATTTGGATAAACATGATGGGGCTTTGATATCGTTAGGACAGATTGCCGAGAGCTCAGCACACCCCTGGCAGGATTTCAGCACGTGACCATCTGCCTCCAAAATGCCCGGGAGCTTAGCGGGGGAGGGTGAGGGGAGTGGAGGGTTCACGTGAAAACTCCGGCTACCGCTAGCTTTCATGACCATGTATCTCCCGAGTAAACCTGAGTTAACCAAGTTATAAATCTTAACCAAATTATAAATCTTAATGGTAACCCCATATAACCCATTATATCCCCTAGTAAGCGTTCATTCCAAGGCACATTCCGCCGCCAACTTGGGCGCCTTCTCGTGGAAGGGGAGGCTGCTGGGCCACTGGAGCGGCGGCACGGCGTGGCGCTCGGCTTCGCTCACCACGTCCTGTCGGGAGCCGAGTGCTACAGGGTGGGGAGCCGAACGATAGCTAGCCTGGGCTAGAACATGCTAGAACTAGATTAAGAAATTTTGGGAACAATAGGGGCTTTAACCTACAAGAATGGTGATTTATGATAGCCAAGTTGGGTTAGAACTGTAGGTTTTCTGACGGGGCTCTATTTAATAGCTATACTATACGCTATAGCTACTTTTTGTTTACCAACTTCTAACTCCGGGGCACCACCTTGTAGAAATTGAGGATTTAACGATTTCAAGCATCAAACTAGCTCTGTCCTTATATAAGCTAAATGATCATCTTAAAATGGTAGAGCTGGGGGAGCAGTTTAAGGATTTGACCATCAAAAATACGGGGTTTGAATGGATTGTACCACATTAGGAAATACATTGGAAACTCTGGGAAATCAATTGGGTTCTTTTTCATTGCGTTTCGCATCAACACTAGGATGAATAAATTGTAATATATATTTATAATATTTATAATATATATATATAATCATAACCAATCCCCTGACCAAATGACCACCCCAAGATTTGGGCTGAATAGATCAGTGTTTCGTGTGGTATTTAAAAATGATCAGGGAAAGGGGTTATGGATGGTTATAGTCTAATTTGTTCCCACTTATATTATATTGGAAAAAACTTGAAAATTGGATTAACACAAGATGTATAAGTTGCACATAGTTGTACCATGATTATGAACCACTTTACTAACCGGATCTAACTGGGATGCTCCAAAAGTGGGGATGCGCCGAGCAGTTCATTTCGGGCGGAGTGGAGCAAGGTTGTTGGAAGAACACATGGCAAAAACCGTGGGCCACTTGAGTAATTCAAGGATCAAACGCTGGGGATTTTGACAGGGTTGAATGAATATTTACATGTAAGTACATATGTATATTTATATACATTAATTAATATTATATATACAGTCAGATGGTTAATTAGAACTTTTGATTTGAGCGTCATACATCAGGTTTTAAGTTCGATTTAGAACGGGTGATTTACTCTACCGCGTCCAGAATGGGGATTTCACCGTCCAAACGCCCCAGCGATGCTGGTCTTCCGAAATTCCATCCATATATGGGGGTTTCCATAAATGGGGGATCCAAAAATGGTTGGTTTATAATAGAAAATCTATCTATAAATGGATGATTTGGGGGTACCCCCATTTCAGAAAACCTCCATTTGGCAACCTCTCCAATCCTGTGACATGTGATGAACTATGGAATCTTTCAAGCATTGTTTCTCTCGCCATGTGAGCCATGAAAAATACACTTTCCCCATCGTATCGGTATCCCAAGGCATGCCCCAGTATTGGTTATCAAAATCCCAAATAAACCAGCTAGTATAACCTCCTATCTTAACATATATTAACCAAGCAACAGCGCTGTGATTGTTTTTATGGCTCATGTGGCTCCCAATCATTGCCCCTGAAGCAAACGGCCTGAACAGAGAGACCGTGGAGGGGATTGCTTTCTGTCAGCGTGAAGAATATAACCTTGGCTCGTGCACAGGTCCCTAGTAGCGACTGTTGTTCCAAGAAGCCTTGCGAGATCTTGAGGTTCACAAAAGCAACATATCCTTTACAGCCTAAATTCTACTATTCAAGTCAGTTCCAGGAAGAGGCCCAAAAGCTTGACCACCTTGTGGCACCAAGAGGCACGACCAAGGGAGAACACATCGGCTTTATCTGCTTGGGACATCTGAGCCGTCTTGGTCAGCACCTGAGACGACGGCAGAGCCAGATTGCCAGGCCACTTGTAATCTCTAAACGTTTGAGGATGTTGGGGTCCAGGATTCAAATCTATCAGGATGGGCATCAATGCAGCCCCAATTTCAAAGGGCTATGCATGGAACAAATTGGGAGGACCGAACAAATCGGGTCGTCCAGTACTTTTTTGTCAATAAAATAGACCCCAAACAAAAATCCACGGACTTCCCGGAACAAGCAAAGTTGGTTTGTGACTAAGTGAATTCTATGGTTCGTGGCAAATATTGATATTAAACATATGTACATATACATATATATATATATATATCGAGCTAGTTAATTGGTTTAGAAGCAAACGTAAAGTAAATGGAGGGCCTCACCAATGGATGGCTTGAAACTATCCCAGGGCCGAGCCAAATTTCCCGCCTCCGGAGCCATGTAGCGTGGAGTACCTGGTGGTTGAAGATGGCATCCCAAGTAGGACTGGAAGAGCCCATGTATCGAAGATATACAATCTACTATAACAATATCTTAGTATATTATAATAATATATTACCTAACGTTTTCACCTGTTTTCCCACATTTTTTAAGACCATTTCTGCGGCTTTTCCCATTGTCCCAGGGGGCCTCCCAGTTGTCGGCTGTTATTGGCTCGGATCCGCGACAGGCCGAAGTCAATCAGCTTGGGTGTTTTGTCACCTTAGAGGCAGCGATTCTGAATCACGATTCTTTCCCCTAGTTTACCTTGATAACTGGCATGGCCATATAAGTCTATAGTATTTTTATATAATATATATATATAGATTTATCTATTCATTTATTGATATACTATATATATATATATGGAATTATATTGATAGATTCTATAGATTGATATTCTAAGCAAAAAGAAGGGGAACCCATTTTTGCATGAACGGATTCGTGGAAAACCGTGTATCTTTCAGTATGCCGACACACACAATTGATAAAGGCCGGGGCAATGGGGTCCCCACGGGGTCCCATTTCTCTCTTTCTTGTTTTAGGGTACGGGTTCTTAAGATCAGGTAAAACCGGATATAAACGGGCCAATTACCTCATTGATAGAGGGCTATACCTCAGGGGCTGCTCCAAAGGGCACTCAGGTTGAACAAGTAATGTGGTTTCCGTACTTTTTGAAAGGTGGCTTTCACCCATGTCACCCCCAACCATCTCTTCAAGCGCTGGAAGAAATAGATCCACTGCAGCATCCAAGGACATTCACGGCCAGGCGGCGCTGGAGCACCAACACATTGGTCGGCTTCAAATCCCCGTGGGCAATGGAGGGTCGAAGCCCGTGGAGGTAGCGTAAGGCTCCTGAGGATGCCCCCTCTCTGGGCACAAAAAGTGATAAAACCTACCCAACTATCAAAGTAAGCTTGACCAAAGAGTGAACAATTTGTGTTTTCCAAACTTCTGCTGCAAATTCTGAAGACGCCCATTTCAAACACAAACAAATGGGTGCTACCAAGGAGCGACACACGCCCAGCAAAACATTGTGCTTCTCTTTCGCACTAAGTTCCAGCTTCTTCGGGAGAAGGTCCTGGAGCTTTCCCAGTTAGATCAGGACAATTCCCGATAAAAGGCACAAAGCAATCAGCAAAACCAACGGGTGAACCATCATGTGTCAACTATATCCATAAAATTATCATTCTATCATATTCTTGGTGGTCACTCGCCATATATTTGATGAGCTAATGGTAAGATCACCACCAGGAAGTATACTAGCATCACTAACAAACTTGTGCCTTGCAGCCACTGCTCACATAGTTAGCAGGTCTCCTGAAGGCTAGTTCCCTTGACAACTTCTTCAACCAAAAAGAGCATCTCCTGAAGTGCAACTGGGGATGGCTCAAGTGCGGATGATTCATACCCTGACGTTTCACCACAAGCTTTTTAGGCCCCAAACCATAGCTAAGTTGACATATCACTTGGTTATGTAGACTTTAGTGAGGATATAACTAGGGCCTCACCTTGCAAGCGCGCTTTTGGATGTTCACGGATTTCTTGAAATTCTGAGCAGGGTTCCTATGGCGATCGCGGCTTAAATCCCGGCTGTTTCTGAAAAGTCAAGATGCCGCTTCTGGTAGGATGCAGGCTCCTGGCACATGGAGCTACATGAGCTACATGGTCAGTGGATGAGCATTTGCCATTTAACTGTTGGCTGGCCCTTTATGCGGCCCTCCTTGCTGTTTTCTATCATTTTAGGGGGGTCTTATTTGAGGAGGTCACCCGCCCCCCCCCGAAAATGAGCCAAGGTTTGCTAGTTGAAGATTAATTGCACTATGTTGTCACAATAAAATCATGTGTGTATGTATATAATTCCATATGAACGCATATGAATAAAGTATATATATACACAATTGTATTATGAACATGTATATATATATATATAGATAGATGTCCAAATATGAATGTGTAATATATATATATATATGTATACATATATATTGTGCATAATTACACATAGCCTCGGTCCCCCCCAAAAAAGACGTTTGCAAATCACTTCGAAGAGAAATGATCATGGATATCCATAGTTCCAAAGCTGTGTTAGTTTATTGGAGGGTAACTCTATCTTTGTCCCAACTTGGATATATATAGTTGGTAAGTTCTCTCCCAGTATGCCCATCAATGTCCCTTTAAACCATCATTTGTTTGACATTAACCTTGAAATCTCACCTTAACCAAACCTCTTTGGCTCCAGCAACCCCGGACCTTGAAAGGCCACGATGTGAGGATGTCGCACTCGTCTCAAGAACCGTAGCCTCAGTCAGCGATGAAAAATCGGGTACTCCCCCAACAAAACACCGGTCCAACATCACGGGGCAACAAACAAACAAAACCCCAAAGGCGTGAAATCAGCCTACGATTTTTGATCCATGGCCGAACCTGAATATATCACAAAAAAAACATCATAACATATTATAATTATATATATAATATATAGATACAGTAAAACTGGAACGAGATGGAACACGTAACTACCTCATTGTTGGGTCACAATATACATGTTTGCTCCCAGGACTTGTTTCGCCTTTCCCCTATAAAAAATGCCTCATTTTTGGGTCCAAACCCGGAATCTCTCCGGCAATCACCTCCGGTAATCAAACATGGCGTGCTGGAAAATCCACCATTTATATCCATTTATAGATGTGTTTCCCAGCTATAAACCTCCATTTGTCATCATTTATCGGGGATTTTTCAAGATTTTCCAGCGCGGAAGATCCCAGCGGTCCAGAAACTCATTGGCCAGGTCGGGGAGGGACAATGATGCGTTGGCCAAGGGAAGTTTCACCGCCACAGGCATCCCTAACAGCTTGCCGTGCAGAATCACCTGGATTTCCCCAGGATTGGAGGATTGGACCACGGCGTTTGGCAACGACACGTTGCCAAAGCGCACACATTCGCACACCACAAACATAGTTTTCTACATACAAGTAGTTCGGTGCAAATTCAATTCAAAGCTCCGGTGATTGGAAAATTCAATTCGTAACTCCTTAGCTCACCATTGGGAATACTTGGATGCAACCATTGCTCCTGCAGGATCATCCCAGAAACCTTCATGGCTAATAAGCCTTGCTAGTTAGGTAGGCCCCCATTCGTGGGAATATCCCATGTATACTCATAGATATGAATCCCCAAAAAGATCGAACAGTGTTTTTTTAAATCACTATTTAAGTATAATGTCACTTTGTATGAATGAGTTCAATCTGTTGGGGGTTGCTGGGTTGCTATATGTTGCTATAGTCGCATCTAATTGATACGTTTGCATACGTTTGTCAATTAACCAGTTACACGGGAAGATCCAGATCCGCTCCATGGCACGCCATAATTTCCTCGACCGATGAGTTTCTCAGGGTTGAAGTGCAGCTGATTTGCCTCACGTCATCCCCGTGGCATTTCTTGGATTTGGATGGTCAAATAGTGACCATTCATCGAAGGTCAGAAATTATGTTTTGACTCTCCCAAAACCATGGTCTCCCTGGCAGTTTTCCCCTGACATCTGGCTTGAGGACCCCTAAAAAAGCTGGAAAATCCCTGGAAAATCCATCGGAAATCATCAGAATCTCAGCTATGACAGCTATGATAAAGGTATGTCACCCCCTGCCTCAATGAGCCAGTGCTCCTGCGGCATCGGGATGAAAAGCTTCTGATGAATTCGTGAGTTTAAACCTATACCAAAATACCAAAGATGTGAGTCATAAGGGGGCCACCATCCCATATTCAAACAATGTCAATCATATTTTGGACTATTCAGCAGTTGAAGTTTATGAAGCACCAGTCAACGTTCATTAACTCGTTTATATCACCTCTTTTGGCCACGTCCTGCATGCCGAGTTTGATCATATCCCTCAGCTGGTCTCGGCAATTGGATTTCACATCGAAGATCAACTGGGTGAAGCCGGTCTGACCTGGCTCAAAGTGTCAGAGATCAGTGGCTCAATGGATTGGTTCAGATAATCTATGGGTTCCCATGGGTTTTAACCAAAAACAATAGGGACTGATCCCATGACTGGCGGGTTTTCCACTCAACAAATATGAAATATTCTGAGAGCCATCCAAAACGTAGGTACTAGATTCCTAGATGGTGGTAGAATTGCAGAGAGGTTCAGGATTATAGTCGCACACACACACACATGAATGGAATTGAATGACTGTGCGCCTGAGCCTGTAGATATACGATATATATATATATATATATATACAGCATATATATATATATACATATTTACAAACATAACATACTGTGGACGCGCACAGTTCACATGTAATCTAAAAATATGTTGAAGCACACAAGCAATGATACGTTTCATGTGCTAACAACCAATGACATTCAGATTTCAAACCTACCACAGAACCTTACCTAGTGACATTGGAACATGGCCCGTCGCCCACAGATGACCAAATACTGACAGCTACTCCTATGACACCCAGGAAGGGTCCCACATCTGATGTGTACACCGCGGCTCCTGAAGTTATGTTGCAGCATGATGCAACATCTTGCAACCGAGAAACCAGTTTGATCCTAAGCTGTGCGAAGATATGCGGCAAAATCACATTCCGGTGGGAAAAACGCAATGTGTTTTGGTCATTTCCATAGAATACCGATCTAGAAGTGGAAGCCTCAAACGTCCACGAGAAGAGTTTGACAGGCTTAACATGTGGGCATCAAAACCACCACGCAAAATTGGAGAAAGCTTTGGGGACATCCCAAGGGTTGAATCCCGGAATCCCCTATGGTTATCCTCCAGCTGACCTCCCCTAGATGGTTATAGATGGTGAATCTCTGATTAGTTTTTTTTTAATATCCTCTATGTAGATCATTAATTTAATGATGATTATATATATACACCACTGAATGTTGTTTTCTTGGCCTAAATTTGCACCCTCTGGTAACATAACCTCTGGAAAATGTAAGGGCCTGTTTGTAGATGATTTACCTATCAACAATGGTCATTCAAATCTAACATGCCGGCTGTTACGGGCCATTTTCTGGAATGGTTTTCCATAGCTATGTTATTAATGATCTGGAATGTTGGAAGCCCAGAAAGAATCCTGAGCTCTGCCAAGATGCAGTGACCTGAGACAACTGAGAGGTGGAAGTTCCAACATGAAGGCAACTAGGAAAACACAACATGAAACAGATGCAAAAAACATTGTATTTTATCGCATTTCACCGAATACTATGGGGGATATCATGGAATTGCATATACGTTGTATCTATGAGGATCTCCTGGGATATGGCTTGATATTTCATGGAAGTATAGCAACCCCCAATAGATAGACCGGTTGGAAGCCATGCAATAATGGGGGAAACACTATCGATTTCACATCCGGGAAGAACTATTAATTCTTGTCTTTCTTGGGTTGCTAGTTAAAATTATAATTATAATGCATAAGATATGCATATAGGTAGATTACATTAGGTTATATTAGATTAGATTTAGATTCTGATTTAGATTACGCTTTAAGATTATGCTTCATTAGGTTCGATTAAGTAGCTTAGATTAGATTAGACCATAACAAATTAGATTAGATTAAATTATCTTTATATAGGTTATGTATGGTTATGTCAGACTAGATTGGGTTGGATTAGATTAGATTTAGACTATGTTAGATCAGATTATATAGGTTGGATAGATATGTGTGTGTGTGGCATGCAATGTCCATGTGAAAGAGTTCAATGCATATCATATCATTGCGGTATCTGTTTTGCTTGGACTTCTCGCTATCAGACTGCCCACCCAAATACATGGAATATGCCTACCTTGCTCGACCATGAGAGTCAATGAGAGTCATTGGACCAAACTAGACAACTAATGAAAACTAGTGTTGATAATGGTCCAATGGACATGGTCCCCACTTCTATTGATTAGTATCCTTTAGGACTTCAACTCTATACTAGTACCCTCAGATGTGCATCCCAGTTAGGAACTGAGTAATAGCCCTAGTCCATGTTCTTAATTCCTAGCATCTCCCATACATACCCGATGAAACTAACCATGCTTTAAATCAGTAATTAGGCGAGAAGAACACCGAGGACCTAGGGACACTCCATAACTATGGGTCAAAATTACCAAAGCTGATGCTTTAATACTACAGGCACTGCCAACATGGCTGCCAAGGTCGCGTGTTTGACCACCAAACGGCTGCGAAGATAAGTTGTTTTCCTTAACATGACCCCTTCCAGAGCACTCAATTTTCCTGCAAAATTTTCAACAACTTACACCTCAGATTCTTAACATACTTACCCGAATCTTAACATACACCTCAAACAAAATTTGCTCATTTTTGAGGTGTACGTTAATATTCAGGAGAGTAAGAATAACCTATTTTACCCTCCGGTCAATCAAACATGGCAATGGAACCCCTCCCATTATTTATAGATTACTTTCACCATATTTTCCAATTCAAACCTCCTTTCCCATTAAACCACCATGAAATCCCATTAAATCACAATACAATCACCATTCAATCACTATATAATCACCATCAAATCCGATAAAATCACCATTCAATCACTATTAAACCACCATTTCAAACCTTCTCCTGATGGCTTCGCCATAGGTCGAGGTGCTACACTCTGAAGGTCAGCAGGTAGCCGCGAGGTTGGGCTTGAGGTGGACATGGACTGGGCCTGTGGTGGTAAAAACCATGGTAGACCCAGCAATGTATTTAATTTTCGAATGATTATCCCATTGAAACTCATTAAATGCTCATGAAGTCCCATAACAACCATAATTTTCCAGAGATGATGCAATGATTTCCATAATGATTATTCATACGGCAACTCCATCTAAATATACGGATGCTTTTATATAGATATACGAATTGGCATTTTAGACTACCTCCGGGAAGGTTTTTCTTGGCCTGCCCAGCCATTTAAACCTACGGAGTCTGAATTTTGAATCCAATTTATTTATTATACAGTAAATATATATTTCGATATACGAATGGAACTGGTGTTGAATACTACCTCCGGGGCCTTGTGGTCTGGCCCGCCCTCCACATATTTAAACGTTGTTACAGTAAGGTTCATAACCATAGTAAATCAATTTAATGGTTCTGCAAAAATAATACAATAAACCAAATATGTACCAAACAATGTACAATGTGGGCCACCCCAGTGATTTTGCTGGTTTATAAGCCCCCAAAGCATGCGTAATCCATTGTTATTGGAGTTATTCCCACCAACTTATCTATCGTTTGGTGGTCCCACATCGTAGGGCTAATAAACATGGTAAACCCATTTAATTGTGTTAGTATGTGTTAGTAATAGTGAATAAACCAATTATAGTGTTGCTTATAATGGTAGTAAAGCAATTCCATGAAGCACCCATAATTTGATGTTTCATACTATACCACCCGTTATTTACGGTAGATTTGGATGGTTTACTGTTGCTTTACTAATATGAAAGGATATGCCATGCGCCAGTGTCAGCAAAAATGGAACAATAATTGGAATAATTATGGAATATCATGGGAGAAATAACATGATATAAACGACTTGGCAAACCCGATGCCATAAACCTAGCATTGGGTGTGGTTTATTCTTGGGCGGAACACACTAGACAAAATGTAGCACCCCCCAAACAACGGCAAAGCAAATAAAATCCTAGCGCCAACTGATGTTCTTTCTTTTGGGAGGGGGTGCTATGATTTGCTGGTTGCTGTGGTAGCTTGTTTTTTTCTTTGGATAATCAGCCGTAAGAGGGGCGATTCTGATATACACATATTCACATGCAGCAGAGGGAGATATATACGTATATATATATATATGAAACCAGCAGCCAAACATGTAGCTCCATAGAATGCAATAGAATTCAATAGAATTCATGTATAGCACGCAAAATCATACTGATTCATACTGATTCCACGTTTCAAATCTCTATCATGACTGAAGTGCCAGGACTCATTTTGTGTGGCAACCACTGGTGCCGGGTTTGATCAGGAAGAGAGCGGCGAATTGGAAATACAGTGGATATATTTGGAAGAAGTATCCAAATGGCCCAAATGTTCACCGCGAATTGAACAAGTACAACATGATGAAAATACTGCTACATGCATCTACATGCCACATGCCACTGTAGTCACTACTACTTAGTGATTCATGTTAAGTATATAGGAAATTGATGTCAGAGGCCTCACCCAGCTACTTGATACTCGGGTTATAATTCAGCTGGTGCCTGGGGTGATCTTTTGTTGCCTTTGCTGAGCCAACAATGGGCAGGGATTAATGGCAGCCGGTCATAAATATATATATATATACATATTCAAAACAATAAACTGAGGAAAAATTGGCCACCCAATTATTTTCCCCAAAAAACCTGAGGAACACCTGAGGAAAAAAAACAACACAAACTGAAAATGTTCCGAAGTGATGGAACCATTTCAATCGAACCATGATATCCCGTCCTGACCTGCTCCAACTTGAAGTCACTCTCGAAGCGACGAACCCTGAGGCCGTGGCAGCCATGAATAGCCCAAGGATATTCGAATGATAGGAAAACAAATGAAAACGTTCTAGTAATCACAAAGAAAATAGAAACGTGTTTCCAAGATGGATAAATGTTATATATATATATATATATCCACGATATTGCCCTTTTAACATCCAGGTTTAATCAGCTTTCTATCCATGACTTTGCGGGCTTCCTCATGCAGCACTGGTTCATGACACACCCAATCCTTCAGCTATTGGTTGTTGAACCCCCCTGGTTGATGTCAAAATGGCTGTGTCTGAAAATGGTTTTCAGAAACATCTGCTTACACCAAATTTATAGGCAACCTTTCAGAGTGGATTGAGGGAAAGAACCAGTTGATGGGAAAAGTTCTGGATATGTAAGTAATATAACAATCTGATAATCATCTGAAAATAATCTGATTCATGAGAGCCTGAAAACGCTGCATACAGTTAATGTGGGTAAAACAATGTCATGTGGGTAAAACAATGTCATAAGCCATCTCCCAGTCATCACCATTTGCATTGTTTTACCCAACATTAAGCATGGCTATTCCCATGAATTCCCATGAAATCACCATTAAATCCCCATCTTTGTTGGTTAAATCACCACTAAATCCCATTAAAACCCACAAAAATATGGATTTCATGGGAATATCCATGGTTAATGCTGATTAAAACCAACATTATAGCCATTCATAGTTGGTTCATAGTGGTCGAGCACCTTGGGCCCTGTTGAAATGCCGCGATCGAAAGATTAAATCACGGCAGATGAAAGGATGTGTACTTCCGTTTCATATATATATATGCATATGTATATATATATACACGGTAACATATACATAGACATATACATACGGCATACACATATACATACACATATAGAATACATAAATAATTTGATAAACCAATATATATATATATATATGCAGTATATAATCATATATGTATATATGGGAATATGTTATGGATGTTGTTTCTGATACTGGGGCATAGTTCAAAATCAAGTGTCTTATTTCATTGCAACGACTCGCTGAAACATCTGATCCAACATCTTGTACCTTATCATATAGGTCAAACAAAACAATCATGGATCTGCGCGACGATACATGCAAAAACCCTGCGTGTAGAGTAAAATGTATATGTATATTATATGAGCTATACAAGTAACTACAGGTAACTACTGCATGAATATATATATGTATATATATATGTATATCTGCATGTATATATATATATATATATCATATCATATTATGTGTTTATATATTTATATGTATGTATCTGCCAGGGATATATGATCTCCGCCAACTGTGAGCTCTTGTGACTTGTGACTTGGTGATGTGCACCACCGCCCACGCCCACAGCGGCCCTCGAGTATTTTCTCGAAGGTGCCTCTGACGATATGAATTTGGCAACCCTTTTTTGGTTGGTGGTTTTAACCATCTTGAAAAATATGAGAGTCAATGGGAAGGATTATCCCATATATTATGGAACATAATAAATGTTTGAAACCACCAACCAGTTTTGCTCTGTCAACTCCATGTCAGAGCGCAACATGGGGTGACTTCTATCTACAAACTTCTGTCTAGCGTATTTGATTGTCTGCAGCTGCGGAAACGCAATGATCTTCCATCAACATTGGCTCATCAGGCCCATGGAACATGCGCTCGCCATAGACATCGTTTTCGCAAATCTGCACAAAGCTCCGGAACATCCTGGAGTAAGTCACACAAAAATGGAAACACGGAGCCGCCTGGCAATGTTTTACAACGAGTTCTGCATATCTCTGTTCCTCTCTCTCTCTCTCTGTGGAACATAGTCACAAGCAGCGACTGTTCTGCATAAAATGAAAATCGTTCTTGTGAGGTCCTTTAGTGCCACTGGTGGTTTCACGCTGACAAATATCAGTCATGCAATGGGTATCGTCACCCCAAATAAAATGGAACATGCACAACAGTTCAAACCACCAAGCAGGTCATAAGTATAAGATGCATTGTGATAAGTTTGTCCAGGTTGATCTTTCAGCATTAATTAAACTATACTTTCCCTGCAACGCTATTGACTGCAGTAGCCGACCTTGTTCGGAAAGGCCGAATGGTGCACAATTCTACGATCTACACACCGCAAAATCCTTCTTTGTCAAAGGATCAGCGAGAAAACGGGCATTGCAGAACTAGCTTGTGGTTTAACATCATCTGTGTAAAATGTTTGTAGCCCATGGGGTTCATCCTCTTTAAATGAGGCACACATACACAGTATACATCCTTCAGAGAAACTGAGACCACAAACTAAGTATGGCTAACTCGGTGTTTCCACCTGTCATACTTGCCATGGGTTATCTTGGATCTCCTTCTTACACCCCTAAACCATGTTTACATTGTGATATATTCACACGTCTACGTAGAGCAAGGCGTTGTGTTAATTATTTATAGCTCGCAATACTTCACATTACCAAATCATCCAACAATTACAGTAATCTAGCTATCTACCCAACCAAGGTTTACCCAGGTGGTTGGATCTTGCACAACTCTTATCGGAAAATCGGCAATTGCTCAGGTAGAACGAACCCCGATGGTCAAACCAGGGCAAACCTGGAAAAATGCAACTGTCCACAACTCGTCGGGTTTCTCCGAGGTATGAATTGGAATGTCAGCATTCGTTCGCATCACAAAATTGCAGAACTCAATGGTAAAGCCAATGGTGCGACACGGTGCGACACTTTTTACATCACTGTACGTCACTTTACCTCCTGATTCGATCTCAGTGCGTGATGGCTTTTGATTGTGGCTGGAAATGGCCGGAAGACTTTCGAGATTCACCAGCAAATGCTGGGATATCACAATCTTGAAGGGTATCTGCAATATATTACCAGTTCAAATGAACAAAAACATCATCAAACATCGGTCCGACCCTTGAGACTTGATCCTGTGGTACGACCAAAAGCTGGTAAAAAAATCCAGCGATAGAAAATGATAAAAGGTGAAATCCGATATACAATAGTGATAGACTACTTTTCTATCTGTTTTGGGGTTGCTATTTCATCAGTTAAAAAGGAACTTTGCGCGATGCTCCAGGAAGCTTCAGACAGGCGGGCTCAAGCACTGTGGTTTCTGTCTACCTGAGATGGCAAGGGCACCATGGGGACAAAAAAGGCAGTCAAAAATAACAAAATTATCAAAATGCAAACTACGGATTTTGGGTCAAAACGTGTCAAAACACGTCAAAACCATCAACCCTGAAACACAGATGGGTCAATTTTATAGTTTGAGACGACCAGAAACGCCCGCCTGTTTGTGAAATGCCCCATATTGTGAGTCACCCACTGGTACCTCGATTTTGGCTTCCATGTTGCAGCAGCAACTCTGAATTGAGTCGTCCGTCTTGTTTGAATCAAATATGGGTGTGTCCGGCCCCCATGGAAGATATGGCTGATGGTTTCTGACCCAAAGTCCATTAAAATGTTGCTCAAACACAGCGGTGTTAGTAGATTGCACCACTCCATCAGGGACTGATGATATATGCAAAGCTTCCGCTTTATAACATGTTTTGTTTAACAAGTTTAAATCATATCACACGCGTACATGGATATTGACATACATCCAAGTAAAACGACACTGCACCGTCTACTTCTGCCATGGGATGTGCAAAACGACTTCCCAGCGACATGTTGGGCATCTGAATGTCACCCCTGCTTTCCGCTCTGTGGATTTCCGCTGGTTTGATTGAAGACATCGCTCCCACCAGGTGTACAGGCAGTCTGGGTGAAAGCCATGCTTGCAGGGCAGCTGCCGACAGGTTTCGCCTGGGCATGGCCAGATATCTTGCATCAAAACGAAAGAAACAGTTCATACAGTTCATACATCTATTCACTCGCATGCATCACTGGTTCAATCATAATTGCTAACTACTATATATATATATAATTATATAACGCGTAAAATAACTATGTAATTATCCATAATTATCCTATGGGATAACCTTCGCCCTAGTATTCTCTTCCAATTAGCCCTGGGGCCCCTGGGCCCCCGGGGGCCCTGAGGCCTGGTGATAGTTGCTCCAAGCAAATGGTGCACGTCTCCTCACTTGTACATGGAAGCACTGGCACTTCACGGTGGAAGCCTCTGATCTCTTCCAAGCTTGGGCACGGGATCTCGGGTGAATTGACCTGCATGTGCCTCCGCAAGGCGGGGACGAGGCGTTGAACAAAAAAGATCGCCAGCACCAAAGAGAATGTGGCGGGCAGGGAGCCCAGCAGTGCAACTGGGACGTAATAGACCTCCATGGCCGCCCAGTCGCAACAAGTCGCACATCAAAAAAGTATAACTTGAGCCAAGATGGATGTGGTAACAGCGGTTTCGCAAGACAGCCTCAGGAATGCTCATGATTAAGGAAACTGACAATCTCAAGACCTGTAGACTATAGATGTTGAACGGTGCGACGTCCTCCGCCCTTCCAGCTTCCAGTTCTACTGAACTCAGTGGATGTATCTCATCATAATACCATCATAGTTTTATATAGGAGCCCCATATTTCAAGTTATGGACTATGGAGGTTTAAATCGCATGGTTGCCCTGTTCTGACCCGCATCTTCCAGGTGCCATCGGCCTCTCGTTGATGAGTTGCAACATGGAATAGCGCTCGTGGCGTTCAAGCTGTCGTTTCGCTGTGCACGCCAACAAGGTGATGCCGCTGAAGAGGGCCAAATTCATGGGGACATTGAAGATGCCTCATGGCGTGACATGGCGTGACATCCCGCAACGGGATGTTGGCTAGTTAGATCATGTCTGATCTGAATGATTGCATATGTGTATTATAATCAAGAAATATAGAAACAACTATTATATACTTATGCTTTCAAGGTAGATATTGGATGATGTTCGAACCAAAAACTCGAGGATCGCGCAGACTTTCAAAATTGGGGTTGATTGGCCCCCAAATTTGCTGCCTCGGTGGTCATGTGGGTCCAACAAATCAGTCACGTAACCTCGGTCCATGCTTGACCAGCAAATACGTCTTCTTAAACTAAACCAAGCGACGGAAACATGATCCATTCACCTTCTGGACATTTAACATGTGTATATATATATATTGCATTATATTGCTATATGAACAATGGCCCATTTATTTCGAGTCGATGATTTGCCATGATTTACATATTGACAGTGGGGACTTTCCACAGCAAGCTGGTAAATTCAAAGGGTAGGAGTGTGTTTGCTAAGGGTTTTCCGGGGGCAGTTGATCATCCTTTGCTGATCCAATCCCATGAGATTCACTTCTTCTGGATCCATGAGATTCACGTTTAATCCATCCGCAATTTCGCGAGAAATCAGTGGATAATGGTGGATATATCAACCATCAAACATTTGGGGTTACTGGGTTTACCAAACATTCACCAATAAACATCAAACGCGCTGTCGCACCTTCTGGACTTCCAAGCACAGCACAGAAGACGTAACTAAGAACACCTGGCGCAACGCGCCATTGTTGGAACTCTTTCTGAAACCGGACTGCGAATGAACAAGTGCATGTACATGCAAACCAATGTGCATTATATGTGGACAATTGCGCATAATTATAATCACACACATATATATATCGTATAATATATGTATATATACTGTATATATATATATATATATCTGTGAATCTGTGTGTATATATTATATATACCTAAATTGTCTCTACGTATATGCCAAACAATGCAGAATTCGATGCGGCATCCCTCGAGGTGCGTGGCACCACGGAGCGATAGTCGACTAAGTCGAGTAAGTTGGGTTAGGCCCCAAAGGCATCCAAAGGCAGCAATCCAAAGGTGGTACATGTACAAGTGCGATAATAAGCGCTACAGTCCATCACGCAACAGAATCACCAGAAATCGTGAGAGCGTATGAGCAATCATGAGCATTGTTTTTCAAAATTTCCTCAAGCTGGAGTGCGGCCAAGTGATTGATCAATAGGCGTTTAAACATTTGGCGGTGTGTTTCTGGAAGTGGTCGTGCATGTATTTGATAGTGGGACTTGCAGGGCATGTGTATGTGTGCCTACATTGCCGCGTATATATATATATATGTATATATATATATATATATATCGCAAAGAACATGATCAAAGTGGGTGGTCCCCTATCGGTTGTGAAGGTTTTCACACAATAATTTGAATATCCCAAGTTCACTACCTACTCCTCTTTGTCTTCCGCTCATGCTGTCGGTTACTCATAGAACATATATACATAATATGATTTGACATATTTTAAAGTTAAATAATAACATGCAATATAATATGGTATGTTAAATGTTATATAATAACATGTAATATAATATGATACAATGTCATATAATAATTATAAAATAATATGAAATAATATATAATATAACATGATATAACATGTAAACAATAATGTGTTTTTTAAACTATAATATAAACTAATATAACATGACAACAAATCATAACATTAATTAAAAATTAATATAATATAACACAATATAATATAATATAATGTAAGATAAGAACATCTGAAATAAACTATAATAATATAACATAATGAAATACAATACAACAATATAATATATTACAATCTACTATAATACACTACAATAACATAATATAATATAATATAATATATTATAATATAGCATAGTACGATATAATATAGTATAATATAGCATAGTATGATATAATAATGTATAATATAGCAAAAACATATAATATAATACAATAAATAGGAGTAGAGCAACATATATTATAATATGAAATAATGCAATAAAATGCAATACATTATAATATAATAGCATACAATATACTAATATATAATGTAATATAATATCATGTCATATGATATAATTTGATATAATTTATATATATATATACATACATGTTTGCATGTAACCAACAAGACGGCCTTCTATTCTACACAAAACATACGAATACTGGCTGCGGTCATCCTTTGTACCCAGTCTTCTTCGGTGCCTGCAATCTCGCATGGCAGGAGCATAAACCAACGAATGTTCATGAAGAAGTGTGACCTTGGTTTGTGCCCCAGTTCGGAATCGCTAAGTTGGTGCAAATAAGTCCAATAACTATGGTTTATTGGTGATATATCTATAGTTAATGGGATTGTAACCCATTTATAACTGGGGGGGAACCACCACCTTGTAGGCTCTGGATTCACTGGATAGATTGCATATATTGCAGCCATGGCATATGATGGCACTGGGGTAAGTCCTGGATAGCGAAACCTGGGCACCTGAGCATCCGCTGGCCCTTTGTTTTTCTTTCCCTGAAGCAAGAAAGTCTAACACTGCCTACATGATGTCTACATGTCATGGTGATGTTTATCAAATGATGAATAGTGATGACACAAGATGTGGATCTCGGGACCCAAGAAGCATTGGTAGAAATCTGCTGCCAAGCATCGAAGTCAAGAGTGCAATCCATGAAAGCATCATCCTCAGTGTCACATGGGCACTGTACATGCTCCTTTCTGGGCTAAGTTGGTCTCCAAGTAGATTAATTTGGGTTTATTGTAGATAGATATTGTGTCTATACATATACGATTGCATACCTATGTGCCTATCTCTTAGTTGGATTGGTAAACCAACTTCTACCCTCTGGTCATCGAACATGGCCACGCAAAATGAACAATTTGCTGATGATTTATCATGGTTTACTTGCATTGTTCCCATGGCGATTTCATGCTATTTCCATGGCTACGTTAGATCACCACAGGGCATACCTGGGGAGCACCAGATTGATAGAGCATGTGGTATGTGCTGATTTGATGATCATTGATGAAGGGGAGACGCCCTACTTGTTTCCTTTTTTTTGGATGGGGCCTAACCTAACGAAGAAAAGTGCTGTTCAAAGCACGTAGAAGAAGAAGACGGAAGAAGGAAGAAGAAAAAGAAGAACAACAAATAAGAATAATGAACAAAACTGATATGTGTTTTCAGCCGCTCGGAAGAATACCACATACTTATACGTTATACATATATATATATATATACATATGAGCTCACACACACACACACACACCTATAGCCTATATATATATATATATAGATGGTACCCCCCCCCAAAAAAAAAAAACTATGCGGACTTCAATACTTCAATATCTATGTTTGAACACTGGTCATTCATCAACGTCTTCAGGAAAACAACCTGCTAGCTCACTTCTCAAAGTCCACACAGAACCCCCTTGTCACTGTTGCCTTTGACCACATGAATAGTGTTCAGAAAAGATGCAAGGGGTAATTATCATAAACCACAATGTCAGTTGACTTTTGGATACTGATCATTGCAAAAAAACAACATGTCATTTTGTTTCGGACTGCTACTCATCATCTTGGCCGTGTCATCAACAGCACCTGCCGTCTTCTTTGCTCAAATCATTGCAACATGGCAGTATGCCTTCAAGCAGGGTCGCAGCTTCTGAAACATAGGTTCTGGGGGGGGTAGCATATATATGATATGCATAAAGTCCATAGCATTCTATAGTCCATATAGTATCATAGATTCGTAGTCATTGCGGATTATCATCCCACATCCCCAGGCGGTCATCCATTATAGCCATATATTAACCATATATTAACATTATATTAACATTATATTAACATTATATTAACCATATGTCATATGTGTTTCACCATTAATCAACAGACTTCACACCCCCTGAAAAGACGAGCGACCTGGTGTCAGAGGAATAGAAGTAGCACAGCTGATCGTCGTCCATAAACCGGACGTCCGGAATGCCGTACCTGGCTCTCACCCAAATCCTCATGAAATCCCCTATATCCGGCATATCACCATGAGATTCCCACAAAATACACCATGTCAAATAGGCATTTTTGGTTGGGCAGGGACCAAATCTTATCTGATCTTCTATGCTTAAACCATGTTTAATTCCCATATTGTTGGTTGAATTCCACTACATCCCATTAGACCACCACTATCTCCGCCCAGATACAACTTGCCGGTATAGTGCCAATCCATGTGTTGGACCGCCTAAAGGAGGAGCTCTTTTTGCGAGCAGATGGGAAAAACTCTGGGAGAACCCATCTATCCCTCTGAAATCCTTAGCAAATCGGGTAAAATATAGCATATAACTATATATAACTATGGTGATGTCATAATCAGAAACGAATCCATCTCAGCATTTCGTATCATTTCGTGATCCCTGTGTTGTTGGCTACAGTAGTTTCAGCATGCATTAGTGTTGGGAATAGTCCTGCCAAACGCCCTCCATGCATCTTAGGATGCAACCCTTCTTCCCAACTCTGATCATGATCAACCATATCAGTCCCGTGCCCCGACACATCCCGATGCTAAGGCAAGTGGCTATCATCAAAATGCAAGCCTCGCCGAGTCCAAGGAAAATGTGGAGAGAAAGGATCTGTACCAACTTTGTTGAAAGGGAGCGACCATTATCTCAACTAAAATATGGATGGTCTACTATTGCTTTACTACCCTTTTGGTAATTTCACATGGCTATGGAAAATGGTCCATTTATGGATGATTTACCCATATTTACCTAGACATTGAAAATGATGATTGCCCTTTATGCTCCATAACTATGTTAAATAACCATATGGTTGTATAACAATAATGCCGGCCTCTCTATTGTCCACTTCGCGATACAAGACTGATCGCCCGACCTGCTGAGGTTGCACTGGCGCCCATTCCGATGATCATTCCAACCGTGGCTGATAAGTAAATCTTCGCCCACTATTTGGGGTAACCTCTTTTGCAGATTATACCCACACCCACCCACCCAATAGGCCCGTAGGTTTCCTAAAATAGAGGTACCCCCAAATCATAAAATGTACACCATCTTAGTATTGAAACAACCATGGTCACTTGACGTCACTTGGGGATTCCCCATAAGAAGCCCCCCATGCTGCTGGGTGGCAGAGGCCGAGGCCATTTGCTCCAATCGTCGCACATGGAGGCCACAACACGCGCTGGAGCGGCAGGGGCAAAGAACCTCGGGCTCCGACGCTTCCAACGGTTCCAACGGACTGGCATGGCCGTGAAGTTATAATCGTTATAATCCTTAACACTTACAAACCATTGTCAAGTTTCAAGTAAAAATATATTGTAATGATTGTAATGTGATGTTACCACCACAAACTTGCCAGTAGCTGGTTGATACTTTGGGATAATGATCTGGTAATGAAATGAACCCACTGGGTGTGCAGAATATGACACACAAAATTCAAGAACTGATTCTCAACTTTGTGGATAACATTTGGCCTTTTCAATGTTGTTGGGCTGTTGGGAGGGCAAGTGTCAGAGCCCCTGCATCCACAGACTTTTGCCACATGTCTGAGAAGGATCACAATGATGCCCCAACGCTGTCCCAGAAATTTAAATCATGGACAATTTTACCGGAAACCGGACACCCGGTTAAAAGAAAAGAAATCAAATAATTAAAAACATGTAATTAAGAAACTAGCGTTGCAGCCGTATTAGTTTTCCTTAAATCAATCCAGTGGCTATGGTGAAACAACAAATCAAGGAAGCTCCAGTGCAGGAAGTTCGATGAATCAACACCGTCCGCAATCCTGCGCACGCTGTTGCGTAGCTGTGCGATCCGGGAGGCTATGAAACAAACATAGTCATAGAGTGTTTATTGATCTGCACTTACATATGTATATAACTGTATATATATGAATAAAATTGAATAGATATATATATATATGTAATATAATATATATATAATATATACATATAATGCGTAGATACAGTTCAGTACCTTTGGCGTTCATCATGTTCATCCGAAACAAGACGAGCACGCCGACCAAAGGATCCCATGGTGGAATCGCAAGTGGTCTCTCTAAGTGCTCCAAGCCTGGCTAGAAAGTGTCCATTTGGCTGGCTATCCGATATACATATATAATTACATAACATTATATATATATATATATTTACATATAGGATTATGTAGGTTGAGTTATAAAGTATAACTCATACAGGACACATCACACCTGCAGCTTCATCAGTCATACCCGCGGCCTGAGACTTGCAAGTCACCATTCATGAAGGAAAGCACCAAGTAGACACTGTTCACAAGCAACAGTAATGTCAACCTCAGCCAATATTATTCAATATATGAGGCAGCGATATGCGACAATAGAAAACCACAGGCTCTTTTATCGCAGCTCGTATGTGGCTGTTCTATCTATACACGAAAATTCTCGGTTCAGACTCCGTTGGATCTCATACTGCGTTCCAATTCACGGCAAGACAAAAACAACGAGCAGCACGGTCATATGAGTCATACACCTGAAAGGGGATGGTTTGCAGGCACAACAAAAAAACATGCAAATGTTGATGGGTGACTTGGAAGTCCAGTTTTGACATCTTAGCAATCAGTTACTGTATCCGGCCTGGCTGGGCATGCGAAGTTTTCAAGAGGCTCAAAATGAAACACATCCAACACACATATTAACTCCCAGAATTAGTTCGATATGTTCGACATTTCCCATTCTGAAATTTCTGGCGATGGTTGAATACCATTGAATACCACCATGTCCATGTTATGGCCACTTTTTGTTGAACAAACGGCACCATGTTTGCTGGTGAAATCAGCATCGCTTAAATATCCCCAAGCACCGCCCCTGTTCCATCCGAGAAACACCACACAGGACCAGAAGCTGGCACGCAGCAAACCCATGCGTCTCGATGCCAGGAAGGACCTTCCCCGGAAAATTCGATGTCTTATGCACTACCCCGGGGTTCATGATGGATTATCAGCACCAAAAAACAACTTGGTGGTTGGTGGCTAGTTTGTATCTATATCTATCTATCTATCTATCTATATATATTTTTTTTATGACATGTATTCATTTATGTTTAAATCAACCAACCATGGGAATTTGGGACATCGATAGGTTTCTGGCTAAATTATCAAATTCATAATGATTCAATATACAACCTGAAAATGATTGAACATGGCCGAAATAAGGCCGTTTGGGGAGGATTCCCCGCAATCTAACCATCATTCCAGTGATGTCACAGTGAGGTCACTATATAGAAATTCATCAGATTTATTTCTATGGTGGGTGTAAAATGAGTCATTTGACTACCATAGTAATATGACTTAATGGTAGCTGATGTCTAAAAAGAGGACAGCCATAGACTTGGCCAAATCTATTTCCACCTCCAACCGCCTGAAAGCCTGTTTCAAGTGAAATAAATCATTGAGAGACGATATGAGACGATATAATAATATATAATACTTAGCCAAACACCAAGGGCTCTTTCAAAACAAGTCCTGTATTTGGTCGGTAGTTTTGATCCAATTGCGATGCTAGTCAATGGGAGGTCATCCTTCCAGTTTTAGGGATGAGAACATCGGCATGTGATTGAAACTGCCGACCAGCATGCCATGCACATACCAGTCCTAGATACCGTGCTCATGCCCCATGTGTGGCAAACTAGATATATACAGTGTATAAAAACTGAAAATTGTGTTTGCCCAGTACACAAGGTCAAACTTTTGGACGGAGTAGGTACCATCACCAGTAATTACTGCAAATTTCGGGTTCTTGATCCCTCCACACTCGACCTCATGCGGTTGTGATTCACCTATGCCATTGGCTGGGTTTTGGCACAGCACCACGAAGACATGAGCCGACCATGCAATTTCCATGAAAATGTACATGTAAGATATTGCCTTCGATGACATGGCAAATCCTCTGGCAATCAATAAATACAGCAACAAACAATCGACTGCGTGTTTATATGTGTTTGCTATCAAAATGGGGGCTTCCCATTGCCAGGCCTCTCAATAATAATTAATCATGTGTCAAAAAGACTGGAGTACCATCCGTCAAATCTTAATGAAAGAAACATGATCATCGCGTTTTCCCAACATGTTCAAAGACATGCAGATGTGCTTTAAGTGCTTCATGATCTTCATGTGTTCAAGGCACTCTTCAACATTTTTCTGCTTGAAGGTGATGGACCAGCGATTGATCTCACGATCCAGTTGCTCCTGGGCATCTGCAACAGCTGGGATGGTTTTCCGAGCCCTCCGGTGTCATCAAACGGCTGGAAAATCTCCGAACTAAATGATCGCTCAATGGAGGTTTCTAGCTGGTAAAAAACCTCTAGCTAGAGATAGCTATATAGTCATCATTTCTGGTGAGCTCGTGGTGCAGCGTAGCCACTACACCCAAATGCTACCAGTCAGCTTCTACCAGTTGTATTTGGGTGATTTTACGCGTAGATCCCCCGGAAGGGGCCTATGGCCCACTACACCGGGCCAAGATCTGATAGGATTTTTTTCAGCAACAGGGCAGAGTCTCACCCTGACTTCCTACCAAGTCAACTTCAATGGATATCTTGGCAGACCTCATAAGGGAGAGTCTTTCCAAGCTTACTTTCTACTGCTGCCCCAAGGATTCTGCTGCTTTTCGGGTTTAGCATGGTTTAGCGTTCAAATCCCTTAAAATGAGCATGGCGGTCACAATAATGTCAATTTTCTTCATGCACTAAACCACTTTAGGGGATTCGCAGCCACCCTTGCACCAATCCCAAGTTGCTACCATTGCAACAAGGTTCCATGATTAAGTCGCCCTGCACAGAGATCAAGAATCCTGGTCACCACGGATTTTGCTGATCAGCGGAGTTTGTTGATGGTGAGTAGCTGAGTAGCTGGGTTAAGTTTAGCTGATGTCATGGAACATCATGGAACTAATATAAACTAATTACACTGCAACGTGTGTACACTGTATAATTTACATGAACTAACCCCTAATGATCCTAATTCAAAGTCAGCGTAATACGGTCCTAGCTGCGCAACCCATTTGAATCTCGGGGTGAAAAGCATCAACCTCGCCCTGCAACATCCCATAAGCATCTAAATATATAATCATAGGGGTTAGTTGTATATCCCAACTTATGGAGGTTGTCATGATGGTTCTACCCATGAAACCCCGAATGCACACCGAAGTGTAAATTCAAATATCCCCAAATGAACATGACTTAGCTATATAATTATATATATATATGTGTGTGTGCATTATACATGCTACAAAATGCATGCAAAAGCGAAGCTAAATCCGCTGAGCCGCACTGGTTGGTACTGCAGTCAAGGCCATGGCCAACACAGAAAGTGAAACGCGTTTTTTTCAAGGTGGACGTGGGGATGATGTGCAGAGCTTGGTGTGATCCTGGCAGCTGCCCATGAATAGATAGATATGAACAGGACGTCCGGAAAATTCCGAAATGCAATGTGCCAAGAAAAGATCCCGAACTTCAGCATGTAGTGCGCTTTGCATAGTTGTGTAAGTTGTGTAATTTGTCATGATCAGCACATGTACACCACTGTCAGAACTCATTCGAAAGTGGTTTGCCCGGAAAAAAAGGGCTGTGGACGGGCGGCGGGTCAATGCGATTTCTATCGATTTCTTATCCTGCCGTGGCTAGTGGCTCCGCTCCTCCCACATATGTCGTCTACAGTCTCTATATGTTGATTCTGCCATTGGATGCCAAAGAATAATCCGCCTCTTTTAAACCTCTAGCAATCAAAAATGACAACTTGAAATCCCCATGTCCAATAAAATCTGAGTAGGAAAACCATCTAGAAATGGGTTTGTCCGACAATAAGGTACCCTATGGTAACCCCCAAAATTTCGTAAAATTTCAAGATTAGTCACCATGTTCCCTACTAAAATGGCCATAACTAGAGGGATACCCCATTTTCAAACACAAAGTTCCCATTATCAAATTGCTAGTCATATATACATAAATATATATAATATATATATACACATATTTTTTATATAGATATATTCTACCTACAGTACTGTGGATCGTTGCGAAATCCCGCACCAGTTGGTTGATGGTTTATCCCATTGTAATCCCATTCTGAACGCAGTGTTTCATGGTACCACACCTCCAAGGGGCTGTAGGACCAACTGGCCTCGATCGAATCTCACGGCACCGGCCCTCCAGATCGAAACGCGCGAAAGGCTACCATCCATTGCAACAAGGCAACATGTACCCTCTGGTAATTTAACGTAGCTATGGAAAATCACCATTTTTGATGGGAAAATCCACTATTAATGGTCATTTTCAATAGCTATGTTAGTTTACCAGAGGGTAATCATTACATGTTAAAACTGCTCACAGATCTATGGTTTTGACTGAAAATAGGCGACCCCCCAGTTTGATGCTTTTGTCTTATATGTCTTTCCCAATAAAATTGCTGATGGCTATCCCCCTCAGTCAGATCCATCACCCAAAAACACTTGGGATCGTCTCTCAGAAGGACATTGGCCACCAATCGGAACATGCAACTACAATTGGAGCACTTTAGCGGCAAAATGTGCGGATCACTATATACAATAGATGTGGCACACACACACATAGATGCACAGCAAAAAAAAAATCCTGCTGACAATCTAATAGATAGACACATGGACAAATAGAGAAATAAAACGCAAATCAATGCCCAAACAACAAAAAAACACAGTAAAATGGGTGTGTGTTTGCCATATTTTAGGGAATACCCTCTGGTGAACTAACATAGCAATGGAAAATCACAATTTTTAATGGGAAAATCCACTATAAATGGCCATTTTCCATTGCTATGTTAGTTCACCAGAGGGTACACATCCATTCACCAGCGATTTTTGTGTAGGCTACCAGGGGTCAAAGACCATGGGCCGAAAATCTTCGAGGCGCTAGGACCGAGGACACCAGGAGCTTCATCACCTCTCCAGCAAACCTGAGTTTTCCAGGTGATTCGATGGGTTCAAAAAATATATATATATATATATAATATACATATGGGTTAATACAGCAGCGTGTGGGAAAATCATAAGGAAATAAGCAATTCAACTCTACCCTCAGGTAAACTAACAGTTTGCTATGGAAAATCACCATTTTTAATGGGTAAATCAACTATTTCTATGGTCATTTTCAATAGCAAACTGTTAGTTTACCAGAAGGTATCCAGGCTGAAATCCATTTAAGAAATAATATTTTTTGTAACGAAAGGAAAGACATCAATTGAAAGGCATGAGCACTTCGTCTTACCCAGGCTGACAAGAAAAAAAAACAAATCACCTCAGGATGAGAGTGGAGATTTAAAAAACGTACCAGGCTTGTCAAGGTATACCGAAAGAATTACAATTACAGATGAGATCAAATCAAATCCGTCATATTCACCTGCATCATGTGGATTCTTGGCCCGAATCCATACCTGGAACCTGCATACTTGCCCAACACTTTCATGATTCAAATGCCATTCGCTCTCAATATTCATATCATGTATACTTGCATGGTATTGTCACGCATGGGACCAATGAAAATTTCATGGAAAGTCAACAACACGTAAACATCTTCCAATCGCTTCCAAACACCAGAATTTCCATGTGGGTCCAACTTTCTGGGGCCCAAATACACAGCGGTGCTGACGAGGTAGAGCTCTTTCGAGCCATCCTGGACGCGATTTCAATGCCCGTATTTTCCAACACTTTTCCAACACTCAGAGATTTGCAACGTGGCTAAAATGAGATCAGATTTGACTTGTTGGCTAAAATTAGATTGATGGATTTGTAGACTGGTAGTCCCACTGGATACATGGGCTAGATCCAATGACTATTCGCAGAAATAAGTCTGGGCACACGGCTCATAAGAGACTGTAAAACCAAGAAACACTTGTGGAAAAGTGACTTAATATGTTAAACATGTCCTATAAAGCAAAACAAGGTGTACAAGCAAAACTACCAATAAGACTCATAAGACCGTGATGCGTTGAAAAACAAAATTGCTACCCAGAATGTTGGGAAGCGATTTAAGCCCGCCCAGTCTTGTATTCACAAACTTCTTTGATAAACAATGAACACATGAAAAGGCCAAAGGGTTAAACCCTGGAAGCACTTTGAGATGGTTTAAAATTCAACAGGATTCCTGGTCCTTAATTACTCTTATTTTATTACCATATCTCCGGGGGACAACAACTGTTTCACCAGGGTATTCTCGTGATATCCCAAGAAATGCGAAACATTTATGGACAATTTCTTTATATTTGTGTCACCACCAGAAGTTATATCCGATATCCCGAAAATAGGAGATATCTCTCTCCCAGCTTTTCAGATTCGTTCCTCCTTCGGAATGCGTGAGTAGCGCATGCACAGAGCTAAGGCCTTGGAATATCGGACGGAGGCCACCGCTGGATGAGATACGCTGTGGACATTTCCCGGATCATGAAACTATATTATAGTAGTGTGGTCATTAGTAATGTTATGCAATAAGTACTCCGTTATATATACTCTGCATTACTCTGCAATAACTGATCGGATTTCAACATAGTTCAATCCATATGAACTCACATTTCCTAGCTCGTTCAGATACATGTCCCAAGCTGACAATGCAAATGATTAAATGCGCACAGTCATGAAGAGAACATGTTTCACGAACCTCTTGAATTCTCAAACACTGCTTACTTCGAGGGTTGTGCTACAAGGTGAGCTTTTACTGACCAACTTGTAGCTGGGGGGGATCACCTTGTAGATACGCCGAGATTGCAAGCAGCATCAGCAAACATATGCAAATACATAAAGGATCATAAAGGAACATTTAGGACCTTACTGCCAAAATACCTAGGTAAGATGCCTGTTTATGTAAGCATCTCACGGCCTAACATACCACAGTATTTTTGAAATGCCAAAACTATGGACCACTCCACAATCGGAAGGTGACATTGCGGCCCGTTAAACTATGTCTGGATGCTACCAAGGGTGAAAACATGTGAAAACACTGAGCTCACTGAGCTCAGATCCGTATTTTGGAAAACGACCTGGCTCAACGCGCAGGAAGATGATGGAATTGGTTGATCATGGTTCATCGTATGGGACCGCGAGGTACGGAGACATTGCACATATCAACCACCGTCAATGGGTGGATTTCCATGACTTTCCTGACTTTCCAACTATCAAGAAGGAGTTAGCAATGATAGGGTCATATCCGCTTGGCAAACTATCCATTCCCCAATCTAGCTATCACATGTCTGCTTTCCTGTGAATTCTGCTATATAGTTTGTTTATTATATACATATTATTATTATTCTATCTATATACTTTGTTATAAATAACCATAAATTTAGGCACCTCCCATAATTGCATCAACAATCATTGGCAACAAAAAAAGACTGAAATTGCCCAAAGTTTCTGCACTCCTACCCTCTGGTAATTTAACGTAGCTAATGAAAATGGCCATTTATAGTGGATTTACCCATTGATAGCATGGTGATTGTCCATAGCTACGTTAAATTACCAGAGGGTAGGACTCCTGTGGCCCAAAAAAAAGACCCAGATTTCTCCATGTCAGGCGAGCGGTGATCAACGAAGCTTGCCGCAGCCATGGAGTCATGACAGCCACCTGAGACCGGTGAATTCACAGGGCGGAGCCAGCGGAGCCCGTTCTAAGAATGACCGGAATCTCAAGGGTGGAACTTCAAGGGTGGAACCAATGATAAACTATGATAAAGTACGATAAAGTATGATAATCTAGTGATAATCTGATTGTAGTTAAACTATATGTTAAACATTGTTAAACTATGTTAAATTCAAACCAGTCTAATGATTGATCCCAACCGCCAAAAGGCGCAAAAAAGGCGCAAACATTGAACCAATTCCGCAGGTAAAAACATGTCTTCCACTTGTGTTTTTCATGGCTGGGTTGTTATAAACAGCCAAAAATTGGGCCAAGGCGTTTCAAAAATCCAAAAGGCACCATCCCGACATCCAATAGGTCTATCCCCACCTGGCTATCCAGCGAGCATCGCACACTGCTCGCTTCTGGAACGACCTGAAGCCCACTGGCAAACTGCTGAGTTCGAAAAATATCACTCCGGCACCACTTCGGAGAAGCTCCTGTAAAAATGGCTAATCTGGCATGGATACCCTAAATTCCATTAAATTCCCCCAAATTCAGCAAAATGTCCTCAAAAACCAACCAAACAATTTGGGATTAGAAAAATCAACCAAATTAAAAATTGAACAATCAACCAAATCACCAAAGAATCCAGGATTTCACGCCGCTGTCTCCAGCCATGGCTTCCCCGGACCGTGGGGTTGGCAGCGCGGTTTTGCGCCGCGTTGCGCCGCGCACCCGGTGGTGCTGAAGCCAGGTGGAGATATGGCTTCTTAGATTGGGGGTCTGCAAAGCTAGAGAAGTAATCCCCCTAAATTAAAAGCAATAGTTAGCAATGTCCAAAAAAAGTAAATTCTTACTATGGGAATTTACCTTTCTTCAAATCTGTCTGCAAGTTGCTATGCATGTACAGCCCTGATTTAGTATTGGATCTGCAGTAATTATTCAGTTTGGGGTCCCTCTTATAGCCCTTATATCCTCACTTAGCCATAGCTCTGACCTCCTTGTATAGTTGAGGTGTTCAAACAATGGGGTGTGACACACCAGCAAATTCTCGAAATGGACTCACAGCATATTCACTACTGCCTGGCAATCAATGAACCTCAGCTGAAGGGAGGATTTGGGGGAAAAAAACCACCCGCAGCTACCTCTTAGCCATGGACCTCCATCCATTTCTAGGGGGCCAATCTACGGAAGCACTTGATCCATTTGTGTTTTGTGAGTCTGTTGCTTTCGCCATTTTCCAGATGGACCATCTTAGATCACCGGCTGGGTATGGAATCAATACTTCCACTTCAAAATGCTGAGGTTGAAACCACTCGCACGTTTCACAATGCATGCCAAACGATACATGAACAGCCAACAGCACATCCAAGTTTTTTTTTGACTAACTGGTAGGAACCGCATACTGAGATGTGCTCTGAGCTTTGCGGAGGGAAATCATAGCCGTCCTAAAGTAGATCTATTACGCCTCAACTTCAGTTTGTTTGGTGTTTCTGTCTATGTCACATGATGTATGGTAAGCCCAATAGTCAATAATACACCATGCCAAGTTGGACCAGAAGCGGAAGGATATACAAATATATAAAGTATCCTTACTTGGAGGTTTACTGCTGGGTTTCCCATGATTTTCTGTGCATTTCTTAACCTCTCTCTGAAGCTCAAAGCAATCACCGTCTGTATGTGGTCATTCTTCCGTCGATCGCTTTGCCGTTTTGCCCCGTCTGAAAGTCCAACAGTTGGGGCATGGTTGCCATGGAAGTCACTTAGGATAATCTTCACATATTTCAGCCTGGACAAGACTACTCTAAAAGCGCAAAAAATGCAGCAACATCCCCCATGGTATTGGTTGATCACGTGGACACAATGAGACTTGCATAAGGCGTAATGATTCTTCAAACGTGTTTAGAAACATCATGCCGCCGGAACAAACAGCTTCCGTAAAGTGATAGAGTTGTTCTAGACCAACGAATTATGCTTCGCACACCCTGTATTAGTCAGCTTCGTTGGCTCCCACTCTAACTCTTTTTCGCAAGCAGAACCCCATAAAACGCAACATTTTTTGGTAGCTTCAACCCCCCTGAAAGATGTTGGTTGATGGACATCACCATATGAAGGTTTCCTAAATTGGGGGTACCCCCGAATCATCCATTATATAATTAATAGGATGTTCCATTATAATCCATCCATTTTGGGGTACCCCTGTTGTAGGAAACCTCATGAAATTCATTGATAGATTGTTGCTATCTCTGCGTTTGATTGAGACACCACCTCCGATCGCTGGAGCTTGTGTAAAGCTTCAGCTTTTGAACTTGGCAGTCAGATCCTTTTGTATCATGGTATATCCCCAATATTGTTATATAAATATATAACATCCCTGTGGTTGATGATTATATACCTGACATAGATTCCACTTTCTGAGGTTCGAAGTTGCCGAAATCGCAGCTCACCTCATTAGTATTTGACTAGTTCACCTGTGACCAACGGAGCGCTTGGATTGGTCCATAGTAGTCCCATGGGCCCTTGCCAACATGGTGAAAACGTTAACGTTATTTTGAGCAACGGCAATGAGGTTCCTCCGGCCTGGACATTTGTTGATTTGTAAAATGGACAAACCAAACTAGCGCTTGCAATGGATATTAACTAAGAAGTGGAGCAAGAAACTAGCTGGAATATGCAGGAATGCTCAGGAAACTATGGGGCAAACTATGGAACTATAGATGTTCAACAAAAATGCCCCATCTACATGTGAACTGTTCGCTACACACATTTTGGAAGTAGATCATGTGTACGGCAACAGGATTGAAGAACATCACTTCATGATTTCACCCACGATCAACCTTTATTTTATGGTGCCGTGTCCTCCAAAAGAGCTTATGTAATACCAAGACTGGAATCAGTGCGGAATGTTTGGACACCGTGGAATCAAAATTGTGATCCCACCGTGGTTCAATGGGAATTCATCTGTACATAGGTGATTTTCCTTTGCCATGTTTCAGTACCGAAAGTAAGTCTTTCCAGGAATTTCGAACTGCGCTTAGCTTTCTGGCAGTTTTGAAGAGTTTTAACTCAACCAAAATCGGAACTGTTCTTTCCATCGGCCATATGTGGAACCTGGCGCCATCTCTATGGCTCGGTGAAATCCACCAGGGTCATTAACTTTGGCCGCCGGCCATTTCCCTGCGTAAATCTCCACTTTTCACCCTTCGTTTCGCAGGTGACTGGCCGTGTTGGCACTTGTCCCATGGTTGCGAAGCCAATTGGAGGTTGAAACGATGTAACAGTCACTGGAGTGAGGGCTGTGTCCAGGGATGTCCAGGGATGTCCAGGGAAAACAGGACAGGGTTGGGCCAACACTGAGGGACAATCAAACATGGGATGATCTTGGGGCTGACCATGACCAAACCATCCCCCAATGGCTGGTACATCTGAACCAGTTTGGGAGGGTGTCCCCCCGGGATCCCCAGGGTGGAACCCCCAGTGAAGTAAGGCATGGAGGATCATGCCGTTCATTCGTCGTTGATGCAACGGCAACCATAGGACGGAATGAGAACTGCCGGGGTGGATCTCCCGCGCCTCTGACCCACCAATTTCGATGCACCAGCTGTGGGGTTAATGCCCAACATCTGCAATCTATGCCGTCAAATTCCAGACTACAAGCATCTGATCATCTGATCAACTGAATGAATACATGAACGCATGGTTTTTAGGCATGTTCCACCGATGTTCAGCTTCCGTCCGTGTGACTACGATGATTCGGATTCATCAATCTGCACATTTCGCAACACCAAACCGGAAACGACCTCTCTCGCTCTGTAAACTCGCAAGTGGATATCATTTAGATCTTAACCTCACAACTGTGGTGCACTCCTGTTGCTTATTGTGTGCCACACTCTGGGTCTGGCTGCTTCATTTCGCGCATCCTGCAAACCATGTGGGTCATTGCCTCCGAATACATCCGAATACTGGTTTCCTGCAGATTTTCCTTCAAACAATTCTGGGACATCAAGGTCGTCCTTCATTTTTTGGGGGTTGTTTTTTGGGGGGGGGCAAGTGTGTGAACCAGAAGACGTTACTTTGGGACCATTTACCTTTGAGTTCCTGAACAATAAGGGTTGCCTATTTATCATTTCGGATAAACAAAGCCTCAAACAACCCCAAAGAACCCTAAAACAAACCTAAATAAAACCTGAACTACCCTAAATAAACCCTAAACCAACCCAAAGTAGACCGTCAACCAACCCTGCAAATAAACCCTAAACAGCCCAGAAGAAACCCCAAACAAACCTTTAAAAACCCTGAACTAAACCTAAGTACATCCTAAATCGACCCTTGCAAAACATTGCAAAACCTAACCTAACCCAACCTTGAGTAAACATAATAAAACCCCAAACGCACGCTAAACCAAACCTAAATAAACCCTTTTATCCTGATGCAACGCAAAGTTGACCGACGTAGCGGGGTGATTGACTCAGGGTGTGCTGACTCTCTCACTGAGTGACCGACTCCGTCTAGTCTCTTATATTCCACGAAGCTGAATTATTGGCCACTTTTGGCATCACTACCCTCACAAATCACTGTTGTTTTCACAACCCTATAAATTCTTGTCCCATAAACATTGGGATTTCCTGCAAATGTCCTCAAACATTGAAACAAGTCCATGATTGATGTCGGGAGAAGAAACTTTCGCCAAATACACCAAATCTCTTCTTTCCCAGGTATGTTTACAGTACATGTAAGGTGTTAAAACCCTTCGTGGTGCCCCTCAGATCTGTCAGTTGGCTCATCCATCAAACTCCCAACAAACATTCACCGCACCTTTGCTGGAGACTCTCTCGGCGCTCCTTGGTCGCCTGTGGCATCATGCTGGTCATCCGTCATGGCTAGCCTAAGGTACTTTGACGCCATGGAAAATGACCCATTTGTAGATGATTTAGAGATTTCACCTATAAAACAGTGCAATTTTCAATGGCTATGTTAAATTACCAGAAAACATGTGCAGTACTTTATGAGTCTATTTTATATGAGTATGGACCATGAAGTCTATATAAATACAGTGAACTCATGATCATCCCCCAAGAACCGGTAAAAGAAAATCCAACTTTGGACTTTTGACCATATGTAGCAACCCTGCAAAAAGTTTAGAACATATTTGTAGAATTTGCCACTCCTTCTGATTGATGAATTTTACTGCTTTATTGGTTTGTATGTTGTTTTGGGTTGTTACATGGTTTTAGTCATCAAACACCGATTGTTAACCTTAAAATATGGCGAGATAAGCCGTGAAAGATGGTTGGTTGAAAGGTAGATGGCTCGGACATGGGACACCAATAGGCCCATCGGGTCATTTTTGTTGCTTAACATGTTGAAACTATCCCAGAATTGGGTTAGATTACCCTACGAGTATCCCCCAAAACTTAAACACCCCCCCATAAAACCATGGTTCTACACGGGTTTAGACATATTTCAATGGAACATCCCCATTTAAGAATGATGTTCATTGATTTCCCCCCCCAAAAAAACCTCTATTTCTAGTTGATTTTTCATTGCAACGTTTGATTACCAAAGAGTCCATTAAGGGGGATGGGATTGAGCCATGCCCACTACCTCATCTCCTGGGCGTTAGAGCTTGTCCAGTGTGTTCGTTGTTTGCACATGTTTTGTCCGTTGAATCCTGGTCTTCTCCGGAGAAAAAAAAACTAGGTGACATGTTTTTCTTTCTTATTTTCTTTTGTTCCTTCCTTCTTTCTTTCTTTCTTGCTCCCTGTGCACCTGCTAAAGAAAGTGCAGTGGCGCACTGTTCATGGAAAACATCCGCACCGGCGAGGGTGAAATTCAAACGCCGCATTGGGCATGACAATAGAAACAGGGAGGCACGATGAGGCACTCAAAGTGAAACAAATGCGTCTCATCAACGAGACGTTTGTGCAACAACAACAACATCACAAGCGGACTTTACTGTCTAGATGAAATCCGGTGCCCTGGTTTTAACTCCAAAATCAATCGTATGGTATAGCTGGAAGTTCATTCCCTCATTCACATTTGAAATTCAATGGTTCCCTAGCTCATCCAGTTTTGTTGTATCTCCATGTTCTTGCTTAAATTCCCGTATCATTCCATATTGCGATACCATAAAGCTCAATTTCACGTCTCATGAATCAAATTAAACATTAAGGTTGAGATTGAAGTTAAAAATCACATCTATTCATATATATATAATATATAATATATATAATATATATATATAATATAATATATATATATAATTATATATATAATTATATATTATATATAATATATATAATATATATATATATAATATGCCATGGTCAAAACAGGGTGGCAGCGCCCGTAAGAGGCCAGGTGTTTGTGCAGTTTTTTCCTCCATTGTATGTGTTTTCTTCCTTCTCCTTCCATGCTTCGTTTGGTCAATTTTGGGGTGGGTTGGGGCAATAACGCCCTTGCACACCTATTTAATGCTACGTCATAAAAAGTTCTCTTGTACTTCCACCACAACTTCATGCTACGTTAAATACTTTACTTGATGCTACGTCAAAAAGAACTTACTGTATCTTATTGCATTTGCACATCAACTTCATGATACGTTACATACCTTTGTTTTTGTTACGTTATATATGTTACTCTCTTTTAATTCATAAGAACTTCTCTTGCACTTTCACCCAGCTGAATGCTACGTTCATCTGGGCAGCTGTGTCAAGAAATTGACAGCCGCAACGGAACGTTTGACACGCCGGGAAGGAACATAAAAAGGGTCCGAAGTGCTGCAAGGGCTGTCGAATGCCACTTCCTTCGGAGACCCTTACAGGGATTTTGGACGTCTTAGTCTTGCTGATGTCAAGTTTCAAAGAAATTATTAAAACGCACAATCTTATGACAATTTAAGGACTGAAGGTGCAAAAACCATCAAAAACGCCCGGCCTCTTACGGGCGCTTCCAACCAAAATATGTCATATGGCTAGCCACTACAAGTACTTCTTTGATGGTGGTATGACTATCCTGAAATATGAGCTAATCTAATCCAACTGTCAGCAAATTCTTTCCATGACGAACTCACATTTTATTCACCCATGGTGATGGTGGGAATATTAATTTTAACCATGGCACATACAAGAATAGGTCAATTCACAGCAACTCCCCCGAAAAGCTCCCAATCTAAAATTGTATATAATCATATATAATCACATCCTGAAAAATATGTTTATGGTTCTATCTATTCGGGTCCTAAAAATCAAGCCTTTGACTATGGCATGGTGCAATCTTCCCATTCCCCTACTATTTAGCACCCTGATTCCATGGTGTCTTGGGGGTAAACCAAACTTGGGATGGTTGGAATCCCATAGAAATGGTGATGACTTGATGACTTGGGGGTGGTTGATGGCAGCCAGGGTTTACCACATTGTTCCAATGGTCATATGGTTAATCCATTGTTGTTAGTTATACCTACCGAAAAATGCCCACATATTTTTACCCCTATGAACTTTCATATAATAAGCCAATGGTTCTTGTTGGTTATCGATAGTCATAGCCCTTCTTGACGATTCTTAACAGCCTTGAAACAGCCTACATCAGCACCTGGATTCTGGGATCCCCCACCAACTTGGCTGCTGAGAAGCGGTTCTCAGCGCGGGGATCCACCGAGCGACTCCTAGGTGGCTGACCAGTGCCCAAAAGGACAAACATGTAAAATCCCAATCCAAAATAGGAATAGTATAAACTATGTTTTTTTTGTGTGTGCGTGTGCTATTCTAAATAAACCAGCACAAATTGGGATTTGAACATATTTCATGTTTTTTTTTGGGGGGGAGTCTAGCCAATGGTTTCAGGTAGTGTAGTTGAACATGTTGCTTAATTCCGCGTTTGAATTGTCCATATCATGGATGGCAAAGGAACACATTTGCATCTTGGATAACATATCTGGATAAATGATACTAGCTCACTGACGTGAAATAAGGATATTTAGGGATAGTTATATAATGTTATATATAATGTTATATATAATGTTGTATAAAATGTTATATATATGTTATATATAATGTTAAATATATATATATATATAAATATGATATACCACCATTCCAGTGACGACGCAGGGATGTCTTTAAAGTGTATTTCAGTCTGAACATCATCTCACTGCAAGCCGCTCCCTGCAACCCGAGACTCTTTCGCACGGCTTGGCTGGGACGTCTCTTCCAGGCATTGTCAGAGGCCTGTGGAAGAACTAAGAAGTAACGGTACGGAGGCATCTTTCAGGTGATGCAACGTTGGAAAACATGGAAAAAGTAGGTTTTGAACCAAACATAGCAAATCGATTACAGTAGGTAAGGCTCACAGATATATTCTTGGTACAACCATGTCACCCATCATTTGTCCACATTTTCACATTGTGTTTATAAATGATCTACCCATCGCTACCCATTGCTGGGAAGCATCATTGGGTTTACCACACTCGATGGATCGGTACCATTTTCATACTGGGACCCCTGGGAGGGTCCCGAGGCATAGATCAATTAATGCGCCAATGTTTTTAATGAAGGCTAAAAAATGACGTGGCTAGCTCCAAGTCTAAGTTGGCTATGTTATATCTGAAAATGATCTGAAACAACAAAATGGGATTCCGATCCTATGAACAAACTAGTCTATACAATTCCAAAAAGTGAGAGATCCCCTTTGCATGGTTCCAGCTGTGAAAAGCCCACCAAGAGTTGACAAAAGAAAAGGGCACCCAAAGCTACCAAACCCAGTGATTGCTTGCAACAATCCCCTGAACACCAACACATTTTAGCAGTGCTCAAAATCCGTAACGTCCCTCTATACTGGTTGGTCAAGAATGGGATTCCGCATTCCTGGTGTGACTGTCCCCAATATGGGTAGTATAATCCCCCGAACTAATCATCAAATTCGTCAACCACATGGGGTTCTCCTTGTGGCCGCTGCTTAGACTTGGATGCAATCTAGGGTGGCCAAACCAAATCAATGGTTGAAAATACTGTATACTGTCCTGTACAGCCAAAAAAAAACATATACATATATGATTGTTATTGATTCTATACAAGTATATTTTACGGCAGTAATATAGATATAGATAGATAGATGGATGGATAGATGGATAGGGATAGATAGATAGATAGATAGATAGATAGATAGATAAGATTAGATTAGATTAGATTAGATAAGATAAGATAAGATAAGATAAAATAAGATAAGATAAGATAAGGTAAGATTAGATAAGATTAGATAGATAGATAGATAGCTAGATAGCTAGTAACTAGATAGCTAGATAGATTAGATAGATTAGATAGATAGATAGATAGATAGATAGATAGATAGATAGATAGATAGATAAGATTAGATAAGATAAGATTAGATTAGATTTAGATTAGATAGATAGATAGTAGTAGATAGATAGGTAGATAACTAGAAAGCTAGATAGATAGATAGATTGATTGATTGATAGATAGCTAGATAGCTAGATAGATAGATAGATAAGATAGATAGATAGATAGCTAGATAGCTAGCCAGCCAGAAAGATAGAGATAGATAGATAGATAGATAGATAGATATATAGATAGCTAGATAGCTAGATAGATAGATAGATAAATAGATAGATAGATAGATAGCTAGATAGCTAGATAGCTAGATAGCTAGATAGATAGATAGATAAATAGATAGATAGATAGATAGATAGACATATAGATAGGTAGATAATTAGATAGAAATATAAATAAATGGATAGAAAAATAGATCGATAGATAAAGAACTGGAGAGAGAGAGAGAGAGAGAGAAGATAAATAGATAGATTAGATAGATAGATAAATATGTAGATAGAACAATAGATAGATAGATAGGATAAGATCGATAAATAGATAAATAAATAGGATAAAATAGAAAACATATACAATAAGATAGGATAAGATAGGACAAGATAGGCTAAGATAGGATAAAACAGGATAATATAGGATAAGGTAGGATACGGTAGGATAATCTGGGATAAGGTAGGATAAGTTAGGATAAGCTGGGATAAGGTAGGATAAGATAGGGTGAGATAGGATCAGATAGGATAAGTTAAACAAAAAAACATAGGTTAAGATAGGATAAACAAGTACATAAGATGGATAGATAGATATTGTGAATGTACTAGTACAGAGACAGCTAATGGTCAGTGCTGCGCACAAAGGGCCTGCTCTTCATCTGCTGGCTCCCTAGCATGGCACACGGACTCTGGCTGACCATACGCTGCAGGGATTTCAGTTGGATCTTCAGCTGGATCTTAAGCTAGATCTTCTAATTACCTATGGCTGATGATAATTTAACCATGGGTTAAGTATCGCAAATGATTATTCAAAATTTGACTATGGACATCTATGGACTATGGCTTTAGTCCAAATGTATCCGGACCCGGTGTTGAACCCGTTTTTGGAGGAAAGTCCCCTAGTCCGAGGATGGAAAGAAGAACATGTGTCAATTCAGCTGGATCTCTCTGGCCTCTTGTGGAGAGAAGCTCTGACAGGGGCCGCGGGGACAACCGACAACTGATTGCCATTGCCGTAGGTATCCCTGGCAGGACGATCCCAGGGAGCCAACAAAGTTCAGGTGCTTGTTCGGGAAAACTATGAGAGTTTGCACAGCAAGAAATATGCAAAACATGATATGATATGATATGATCCCCCCCAAACACCTATCATCCACCCCAAAAAAAGCATTTCTTTACGGTGAGTGAAGGCAGCCTGACGTGCCGCTGCCCTTGCCGAAGATTCTTCCGCTTCTCTTGTTGCTTCACCAACTTGCTGTCGGTGTCAGAGATCTAAGTGCTGCGGTGCCCCTTTGGGACAAGTTATGGGGGTAATAGCTGGATGGGTTATAATGGAAAACCCTATTAAAATTGATGATTTAACCCATTTTAGGAAACCTCGCGGTGGGATCCTCTCATGAGTGATTACTGGACTTGGGACCAACTAATCTGAAAATAGCGAACAAATAATGCCAAGTGGGGGTGATTTTCCTTACGAACCATCATTCCAGCGACTTCACAGTGAGGTCATTATGATTTATGGAGATAGTTAGTTGCAGATTTTTTCCAGAACCATGATCACTAGTTCCTGTATCTGGCAGAAGCCTTGTTCCATGCCAACACTTGCGGCTGCTCCATGGCAGTGTTGCATATCAGAACCATGTGGTTGAGCTCAAAATGATCAACATCTGTGGGTGGTTTCAACTCATCCCCGTGAAACAAAAAAAACAGTGAGTTCAGTATAGGATCGTCGTCACCAAAAAGGCTTGCAAAAAAGTGTATATATATAATCGACTTAATATTTTAATATCTTAATTATAATATTTACCACGATGGAACCAGCATCAACAGGGCCAACAGTTCTCTCTTTTGCAGATCTCATTTTCACCTTCGAGCGCTGGCCAGGTGGCGCTCCTTGGTGCAGGATGACCATACGAGGAATGGATGGGAATCCCACAAAAAAAGAAAACAATGGGGATGTATACCCAGCAAAAAGATAGAAGACTCTATATATATATGTATATATATATATGTATATATATATATGTGTGTGTGTGTGAGGGAACGCCCATGCGTCACCGCAAAACTGCCTGTTTTGAGGCCCTGGTTTTGGAACCTCATTTTGATCAAATACAGCATATAATAACAAGCCAGCAATAGAAAATGGGGATTTACTCACTAAATCTATGTTAAAACTGATAGGAATAGATAGATAGTAATCTTCACCTACTTAAATGGGGAGTTAATGGAGATGATTACAGTTACCTTTTAAAAGGGAAGTTACTCTATCTAACCATCCGGTCACCCTGCAATAGAACATGTACACTTACTACCTAATTTTACGTTGGGGATCTATGTTTCTCCATCGTTTCTGGGGGATGATCCCAAATTGGGACGTCAATGTTTTGTGCACCGGATAACTATGGATAACTATGGATAACTGGATGAGTTTGAATTCAACAACTGGATGAGTGTCCGGGATTATGGCTTGAACTTGGACTAATTGATCAACATACCGGCATAGAGATATGATCAATAGTAATCTGAAGTTGTGCCGCGGGATAAGTTTGGGGCCAGTAGATCGACTGACATCGACTGCTGAAGTCAAGGCCTCCATAGGCCTCCAATCTTCCACCAAGACGGTGGAAGACGCCCCTTCTCCCCCAGTTGGCGGTAGAACTGGAAGACCTCTCGACAAGCTCGGCTGAAGGTGATCTGGTGACCTCCATTACATCTCTCCCAATTTCAAATCCTATTCAATCACCAGTATATCCAATAGAGCGCTGATTAAAATCCCCATTAAATCCAAATTGTGCTACCATGATTTTAGTGTTTCTTTTTTGTTAGTTGCCGTTAAATCCCAATTTGTGGCCGTTCTATGCATATCTACACACATATTTATATATATATATAGAGAGAGAGAGAGGGAGAGAGAGAGAGAGATCCCAATGAAATTTGGTTGAATCAGGATTTTTGTTGGTTCAATCACATTGTTGCTGGTTAAATGTTGAATCCACATTATTTAATGTTTAAATCCCATGATTCTTGACAAACATCCCCGTAGTTGAGTAAGTCTGTTGATATTTACTTGACTGTTGGGTATGTACCCCCCATTTGAATGAATACCAACCCCATAGCGCCCGAACGAGCCTTTTCACAGTGCGCTCGATGATCCGACGCTTGGCAAAGGTCGTGGAGCTCCTCCTGTGCATTCTCCGATGAGGAAAACAATATGTGGAACAAATGGTAGGAAAATAAGAAGGCCATGGTTACCATCGATGATGGAAACCATAGGCTATATTTGGAACAATATATGACTATGAGGAATATCGGAAAGCAATGGAACATACACACAGAACATATTTATGAACAAGTAAGAATAACAAAACAACATATGGTTCAAAATGATGATGAGCTTTGCATGTTTTTAAAACTTGAATCGCCGGAAACCATGTTTTCACCCTCTGGTCAACACCTGGCTGGAAAACAATGCCGAAAACAAGCCGATGGTAGCTTATTCTCCTGTTGGGAGGGAGCACAAAACAGGGTGCGAGACTTTTTCTTTACATTTGTTTACCATCAATCCAATTTAAGTCCTGTAAGATTTCCCTGAAAAGCGAAAATGGGGTGCAAAGGATTCTGGCACCTTTGGGCATCGAAACTTTCGACATCTTTCGACCATCCCATCCCTTGATATGTTGGCCCTTGCTGGTGACTAGCTGCCAAGGTGCGTAAATGGCTCCCAAAGTAGGGTGGAGGTCTAGGTCGAAAGCAGCGTCGAAACATGCCAGTCAAACCGCCCATACTAATAAGTGGAAGTGCTGACTAAAATGAATGGTGTTGCGAGGTGGGATGAATTGGAAACCTTGTGGAGTTGATGAAACATTCACTGACGGAATACAAACTCAGGTGTGGAATTGTGTGGAAACTATTGCGCTTAGCTTTCAGTGACAAAATATGCTATGTCAACTGGCTTATAGGGCCGTTGGATATAGACACGATCACATAACATAATTTCCGTTAATTTCCAAGGTTTTCAGCGTTTCAACTTTTCTACGTGTTTGAAAGTTGCTATATGTATATATGAACTTAAATTATACATATAATAATACACACATATGTGTATATATATACATATATATATATATATATATGTATATATATCAACGCAACTAGGATATACAATCCCAACGGGCCCCAGTTCTTTGCAGGGTTACAACCCACAAAAACGAACCATAAATTGCCAATTCTGGGAACATCTAAGCAGCGTCATGCAAAATTATTCTATGTCCACCGCTATTTAATTCTCGTTAGGCAACCAGAGGGTAGGAGGGAAATTCACCACCGATCAAATCGGTAAGTATATCCACTCTAGGTAAATAAATATATTAAATATCATATCCATCAAATAGTCATTAAATATCCATTAATTATCCATCACATACGTATCCATTCAATATGTCATATCCGCTAAGAATCGCAGAAAATCTCTATGTTTGATACTTCAACACCAGCCCTCAAAACCATGCTCCCAGCGACAAATCCCCTCCGGGCGGCATGGAAAGAGGCGCACGGCCGCCGCCAGCTGCGCGCTGAAGAGACGCTTGCGATCCGGGAAGGAGAGGCCCGGAAGGTGCAAGGCCTGGAACGAAGCCATCCTTGGGGGATGGCTTCAGGTTCTATGGGGAAAATCCATGGGAAATCCATGGGGGAAATAATTACCATAGGGGAAATGGTGACCTTATGGTCTATGTATATAAATGTATATAACAGATTGCAACAGTTTTCCAAATAAAAAATAATGTGTCAAACAGGTAGATCATCTGCAAATCGGTCAAGTTCACTCATTTTCAATAGCTATGTTGGATTACCGGAGGGCATATGAGTGTTTCCGAACATGGGGGAATATTATCCAAGATCATCTAACTGCTTATATATAATTATATAGCTATTTTGAATGGGTAGGGTCACCATTGGTTTGCATGATGGAGATTAATTATGTTTTGCAAAGGGGTTGATCTTCAGCAGCCAAACCATGGGCTCGTGCCAAACCCCTTCGCACATAATTACATCAATCCTCATCAATCTACCCCATTCCCAGACATGATTTTTTGATCTCTCTCTCTCTCTCTCTGTCTCCTCTCTGATAATTCAATCTTGCAGCGGAAAATGCCCGATTAGAAGTGATCTTTCCCCTAAAAGTGAAGGACTTTTCAGATTCATCAGATTGGAAGGGATTTGGTCATCTGCCGCCTCCTGCCGCGAATGGTAGAGCTGCAAATCGTGCAATTTACCATTTTCTTGTGACAAAAGATCTTCGAGCTCATCCTGGGAAAATGCGATCCCTGACCCCTGCAGAGAAGCTATGAGTGGAGATGATCGCAATATTTGAGACTATATAATATGCAATACATGCATAGTGTATTTCTATTTATATGTAGATATTAAATATAATTTGTATATATTATATTTGTATGTGAAAAGAATGGCCTTTTTGCAACAGGCTGACTTTGGGCAGCATTGGATCCCCATGCCATGGGTGGGTTCAGTGCTTAACAGCACATCTCTTTTGCACAATGTTATATATATATACCAAACAAATGGCTCGCGCATGCTCGCGCGAGGTCCGTATCGCAGAAAAATAAGTTCTGCTGCACTTCCGAATCTGCTTCCGGCCGGCTGTCCTCAGCATTTCTCACAAGTCTGGCGGTCTGCCGGCTCTGAGTTCCAGCTTGTCCAATGAGACATATTGGCAGTGCTTGAAACTGGGAAGTCAATGGACATCAATGGACTTATCCAAATCCCAACTATCCAAAGGTGAGAAAGCAACCCCCGTAAGTCAAAAATTACCCATTTTGGATGTGTGTTTTGGCCCAAAAATGAATCTCAACCGTGGCCAAAGGTCTTCTGCCTCACACCTGCTGCATTTGCACAGGAAGCCCCAGTTGGACAGCAGCCGCTGCCGCCGGACTTGCAGGGGCACCTCGGAAGTTGCCACGTTGGAGCTTGTAAACCCACCGGGCAACTGGCAACTCAGCTCCCACGCTTTTCACCACCAAGCCACAGTCAGGCAATCCGAATTGTAGCTGTACACAATCCTGAGTGGGGAAGCTCAGTCACCTTCCTTTCGCTTTGACCAACCTTTGTCAGCCTTTATCATGCCAAACAGTTGACATAGGTGATACATGTCCTCACAACAACTACAGCTAATTAAGAAACTAATTATGTCCAATTACATCTGGGTTTGTCTGAATATTGCGTACCCCTACATCCACTGAAGGGATCAGCGATTTTCGACCAAGTACCAGGTCGATTCCACTTCTAGCGCACCAGGCATATTCCCGAGCCCATGGATTGACTTTTGGATGGACCTACCCAGCCATCAAACATGGCAATGGGAAATCCTCCGGTAAGTTGGCATAGAAATAGAAAGAGGAAAATCACAGAACCTCACAGAACATCAATAAAAGCAGGTTATAATGGGAAAATCCATTGTAAATGGTGTTTTTCATTGGGAATATCGTCGATAGCTGATGGTTGTCCAGCCATGTTTGACACCTGCTCCTGCCAAGCATCTCTGTTCCCTTGGATATCCCAAGCTCTGCCACCACCACCATGGCGGTGTGACACTCCTGGCTGTGACACAGACACGTAGGTGTGACACGAAATGATCCATGCACCGACAGCCCTATAGAAACAATGTGTTCTATCTAGACATTGATTATTGTTTGACCATGTCTTTTAACTTATTTCAACTTGAAATGTTAGGAAATCAAGACCATGACTGAGGTGTAAAAACAGGAATCATTGACCGACCAAGCATCCGAATGAGGGGGCAGCTGTGTGATGGCCGCATTGGGCGCACAGCTGTGATTGAACAAGGCCATCACCGGAAGAAAACAGCAGCCGTTGAGATGGAAAGAATTGAAGCGAACCTTCGAGTACCTTGGCTCTCGAAGTCAACTGCACAAGATACTACAACACTAGCAAGACCACGAGTCCAAACAAAGTTTCAAACGTGCTAGGTCTGCTAGGTTCAGCAAAAAAAAATGACGTGTATGTGATATATGTTTTCCATTATATATTCCCATGTATCTTAAACACTCTTAACAACTATTACCACTCTATTGATAATGGGCATCTTTGGAAGTTTCCATAAATGGGGCACCCCAATTTATGCATGCTTTATCATGGAAAATCTGATCAAAAATGGATGATTTGGGGCCCATATTTGAGGAAACCATAGGAAAGCCTCATTCATAGCCTGAGATGCACTTCTTCCCACTCCTGGCGCCGTGAGGCCGTCGACAAACGCCGAAAAACGTTGCAACAGTTTTGCCATGGATGGCCATTGAACTAAATGGTTCATCTATCTGTATATCTATATATATTTATGCGTACACCGCATATACATGCATATACCATAGCTATTTGTTCTGGTAAAAGGGCAGCTTTCTGCTTCATGAGCGTCTCCACGAATCACAGAAAAGCTATGATGTACTCTATATCTCTATCATGATGTACTTTATCAAAGTATGTCAAAGAAAACACATGGACTGCGGGATCAATTCCCGTGCGCGATGATCATAATGTCAGCTCCCGCCTGAGAAACCCCAGCCGATCAATGCTAGTCTGCTACATCTATGATTGTTGATTAATTGAAATGGTACCCTGTAACTAGACCCAATGCATTTTATTATCAGGCGGTAAGACTGCTCATGGCAGGTCCTCCACTGTGATTCCCTCTGGAATTTTTAACGCAGTGGCCTCGGCAGGAAATGTCGAAGATTGATGAAGATGTTCCATCTTTACTTGTATGTCAATGGTTAAACTGCTTAGTTCATGTCTTTGAAAGGGGGTTATCAACTATATTGATTACTCAAAGTTAGTACTTGGTATCTAGAATGGCCCACGCAGTTTGTAGTAAGCAATTAGCTGAAACGCAAGGCAAACCACATGCCTAGTACACACAAATCTTACCCAAACCATCCCAAAGCCGTCTGAAACCTGGATCAAACATCAAACACCATCAAAACATGGTTATGTGCCTAATCTATCTTGGCGAATTTTTGGGAGCTCCAACCTGGCTCTCCATGAAAATATCATTTATATATCTAAATCTAGTTATATCATTTGAAGGAATATAGATACCCCAGTCCCCCACTCCGCGTTCATCGCTCCCATGGGATCCCATGGTGCACCGGGCCTTGCAGGTGGTGCACGGGCCCTTGATAGAGGTGAGCCACTTGCGCCCGAGCCTCTGGCGGCTGCTGGGGATGGGGACCTTGCGACCTTTTTGTGACGATTACAAGCAGTTGAAAGGGAAAACAAGGGAACACATCTATGAAGAATTAATATAAGAACTACAGTATGCGAAACATGGTGAAAACCAAGGTTTTACCCTAGTTTTTCGTAGATGTAGGGGCGAGAATACCGCGGTTTCTCGGAATTTGTGTCTTATCAACCCATTTGCGAAAACGTCCAATGGTCCAATGTCATAAGGATGATTGCCGCAGAGCATACACCACCATTCCAAAAAATAGCTGTGAGTCTGTCCGTCCACCTCTCGACGCTATCTTTCTGTACAGATTGTGATTCTTGGGAAAACCAAATGGCAACCAATTCGGTTGGTTGGTTGGTTAACAGACCCAAATGGGACAGACCCATGTGATGGGGATGGTGGTTTGCAAGGTGATACAGTCCTATCATGTCCTATCTAAATGGGACAACTTCTTCCAAAGCTTCGCCTCAGGGGATGACAAGACCTCAAGCACCAAATGCTCTGCGCTCTTGGCACGAAAACCTTTTTCTTGGAAAACCACATCCTCAGTGCTAGCATTGGGGTGAACCTTACCCTGGGGCGTGGTGTCAAATTGGAGCTGAAATATACCAACAATTGAAGGCAACCACAGGAATTCTGGTCAAGATTGGTCAAGTCTATCTGAATCTGTCGGCGGCAAGATGCGGCAAGTGTTGGAACCAGAAAAACACATCCCAAAATCTGGCATAGGAGGCAACAAAGCCACTTCAAGCAGCACACATGCCACGGGCATTTCTGGCCCAGAGAAATTGGACTACATGTTCTGAAGCAAGTGTTTGTCAAACCTGCATCACCATCCCCATCACCATCATCATCATCATCACCATCATCATCATCATCATCATCACCATCATCATCATCATCATCTTCATCATCTTCATCATCATCCGGTTTGCATTCCTTTTGCTTCCTATAGGTTCATAGGCACAGCCGTATAGGCTAGCTACAACATAAACGTAGGAACTTAGATGAGATCATCAGATTGGTACCTGATGTACGTACCGATACCCTTGACTACTTGGGTAGATGCTTGGGACTTGGAATGTTAAGAAATATATATGCAGATGATTGCAGATGTGGTTTCACCATGTTTCACCTCCCGATATCTTTTTGAAGCTCCCAGTTGATGCTCCAGCCGCTCCACATTTGAAGTCTTTGCTCGCAACCAATCCTCTGCCTGTCCAAGTGCTATTTGTGGCTTGCCATTTTTTTTCAGAAAGGTCATAGTCTGCAACAACGACCCTCCAGCCAGTCAGCATAGATGTGCAAAACTCATGGATTTTCCTGGGAAATCACGATATGCTTTTTGGGCTTTCCATATCTACATTAATTTGCTGAACAAATGATGTACTTGCATGAAGACAAGACCTGGGAAGCATGGAACTGCGATCATCATAGGTCTTGCCATGTCTTGCCCAACTATGGCTAATTTTAGATGCCCGTTCAGGAGCAATTAGCCTTTAGCAGGATAATATATAAATGTTAATAAATCATATACAGTATATCACACTGAATGTGATGATATAAATCATGCTCAGCTCTCTGAATATATATATATATGTATATCTCTTCAAGTATGGCTTGGTTCATTAGCCATTCATCTACCAAACCTGGGTGTAACCAGAGCGGCTCACCTGGGTGGACCTGCATCCATGACCGATTCGGACATCCGTAGTGTGTTTTCCTCCATGAATTCTGGGAGTATCATTCAGTGTTCGAATCAAATGGCTATGGCTCAAGAATGGATCACCAGCCCACGTAATTCAACTGTTTTTGTTCCCATCCAAACCTGTTTTTTGGGAACTTCCTAGCCCATACCGGAATGGTGGTCTCTTAAAATGGAGCTACCCCAAAATCATCCAAAATTAAGATCATTTACCTAAACCATGCAAATACCCAAACATCTTTTAAAGGTATTAAACTCATGATCTTAAACACACCATTATTATGGTTACTCGGAGGGTCTAGTAGTCTAAGTCTATCTTAGTCTCAATTCTTGGAGAATGTGGCTTTTGGTGTCCCCCATCTTAAAGAAACACTATATAAATGATACTAAATTCAGACGCATAGCAGCCAATCAAAAACTCGGGAAATTGGCCCCGCGGGTCATCACCTCTGGACGCTAGGTCTTGCAACTCTAAGCCAAAGGCTTTCCATGGCTCAGTCTCCATGTAAGAAATGGAAAATTGAAGGGATTGGTTTCAGTGGAAAATCTATGGAAGTTTAAGACACAAGTTGTCTTTGTAAATCCCTGGGATTCCATGGGTTGGTTGAAGGGAAAATCTTGGAGCCGAAACCCCTGGGTTTTACCCACGGCTTCCGGATGTTTGAAGCCCCTACAGTGCGACATCAACCATGAACACACGCCAATTGAGGCACAACACAAAGAGTATTGCTATTTTCAACCTGTTTCGAGAAATACCCTCTGCAGAAAAATTCTGAAGTGAAAAATCGCACTCTATCCTTCAGGAAACCATTCAAACATCTTCAACACATTCTGAGTATGATTCACTTTTCAACTCACAGCTTGCCTTTTCCACAGGTTTTCTTTGGATCATGGATGATACCTGATCACGTTCACCTGAACTTTTGTGAGCCCAGGCTTCAGCATATCGACAGGCGACTCTCTTGGTCATCTGAGTCCCAAGGATCGAAGCGACTGAGGATGTGGCGACAAAGGCACTGGGCGAAAGCACTTTCACCACACCCTGCATTGCCGCTGCATTTATCGTTGTGTCTTTCACAAAACGCTGATAAATTGTGCCTAAAGTACCATGAAAGTGTGCCATCAAAGAGCTTGCCTTGTGAAACCAGTGCAACCCTGACACCGCCAAAAACATTGCGAGAATGACATGAATAGATTAAATATATAGATTATGATCATGATGCTAGCATATGCTAACTTGAACATGTTTTAGCATCTTCACTCTTAACTTGTAATTACCCACTCTTTCAGCAAGTTGACCCTAGCCATGCCACCCATAGCTTTTGTAGGACCTCCCTGGAAGGGGTCAGGGTTTCAGGATTTTCAAGGCGGACCCAAAACTCTGCCGGATGTGTATTCGTTGTCCGCCAAACATTTTTGGCTGAATGATATTTTTTACAGATTTGTCACGCAAGTTTGTGTGCCCCAAAAGCCCAACATCTGTGGTTTTTACAGCATTTTTCGCATTTCAATGCCATGTATTGCAAGGTACTACTCCGTTTTGAGACAAGCCCATATTGAACCCTGGCAAGCCCTCCATCAGTGGAGAAATACTCTGTCATGTCATAATGGTTGTTGAAAATGGTTGATGTTTTGCTGTTTTATTTTCTTGCTATTGTGCGGTTGGGAAACTCCAAGTAGCTCCTTAGCTCCCTCCTCACATCTCCTCACCCCCGGATAACGTGGAAATGCCAAGATGTGATCATTTTCTCCGACAAATCCACGCCATATACAAATCAATGATACATCTGATAATACAAGTGCAAGAAAAAAATATATATATAAATAATAATTAATATGAAATATATAGACATTTCTCTATCCATATATATATATAATATGTTTATTATACAGCAGATGAATTGGGTTGAACCCCCGCCTGCATCAAATTGGCCTTGGGCGAGCTTCGCAACTCGGAGGTGGACCTGGAACCTGCGCGTGTCGCGCGTGGCGCGAGGTACACGGAACCAGGGTGCTGAACCCCGGGGACGTGTTTTATGGTGGTGAAACATAGCGATTTTCCATGAAAAAAACAATGGTTTTCCATGTGAAAACCAAAGATCTTGTGGGTTGAAGATGGTTTAAGCTATGTGAAACTCTGCTGTAGGTCATGTCTAAAATCCAGAACATGATATGAGACTGAAAACATACTGATGTATTGATTGTTGGCAAATCAGCTTTCAGTGCAATTGGGCAAACATGGTTTGTTGAAAAAAAGGGGAACACAAAATGATGGTTTAGAACTGCATTTTCCGATTAAAACTGCCATTTGGGTGGCCCCATTCTCACACACTCAAATATCAGCTTGCTAGGTTTACAAGTAACTTAGATCCTAATAATATGTGTATATAATTATATATATATACACCACTATATATATATACCACTATATATATATATAGTGGTGTCCATGGAATGGTGCTTTAATTTTAATTAGCCCCGTACAAATTGGCAAACTTGTGTTTAATTCAGTTGACGAAGCTCAAAAGCCCAAGCAGTTCAGCTCCGGACCCGTAAAAAAGGCCGCAGCGTCTGAACCTCGACATGGGATGGATTGGCCCGATGGAAAACATTATCGGAAACGATGTTCTTTTTAGCCACTAAAGAATTGGTTTTCGTGTATGTATATATATATATATATATTGCTGTTTTTCCTTCAACTGATTCTGAGAAAGTGGCATGAATGGGTAATCCAAACATAATGGCATATCAAAACTGTTATACTTTTTATTATTACTATTACTATGGTTATTTCTAGCATTGCTATTACTAGTACTATTATTGTTATATAAGTTAATTCTATGTAATAACCATAGTAACTTTGCAAAATCAATGGCGGGAAAGTTAGTATTACTATGATTTTATCATTACTATTGCTATTATAATGACTATAAATGGATGACCCCCATGGCCCCATGGCAAAATTGTTGGTGTTCCGACTCAGTTTTGACCCGATGACTGAGGCGGAAACTACTTGTGCGCGCAGTGCCTGCAGTTGCTGACCGAACTCACCAACATTTGTTACCACCATTGTTTACGCCCAATGGCCCAAGAGTAACCTAGGTATATAGAATTATATAATTATGTATAGGTATAATAGTGCATAATCTCTGCACATAGTTGGATATGCGCGAGTGTGCATATGCAAAATTGCAAAATAACTTACAGTAGTTGAGTATGCCGAGTACATGTACATGTAAATGATAATAAAGAAATAGAGGTTTTTGACATTATATATATAATATATATATAACTACATATGAATATACACATGGTGATTTACGTACATTCATCAAATTGTGTATCATGCATACCTACCAAATATATTAGATGGATTCTATAGACTTGCCTCTGCAAAGCTTCTCTTTAGAGCTGTGGGATTTGGCTGGTGCCTGGTTTCTGTCCGGGCGAATCCAAGGATGCTCGTGAACGAGTATCTGAAGTGACCTTGGTGTCAGGGAAGCTACGTTTGTAGTGATCCCCGGAAGAAACAAATGGTACTGTAAGTAACCACTGGTTTGGTAGAATTGCGGGAATTGCTTTTCTCTTTCGGGGGGAGCAGTGAGTCAAACAGAAAAAAGGTACGTCCAGCTGTTTTGGGATTGTGTCCTCAGGAAAAATCTCCGTTTAAATCCCATGGAAAAATCACTATTTTATCCTATCAAATCACCATTCAATCCCACACAATATTCCCATTTTATATCATTTTATCCCATGAAATTGACATCAATCACTAATCACGAAACAGTTGGTTCAAATATCTCCAGTTCTCACCGCGAAATCACCCGTAAACCATTCACCAGGTGGTTGATCACCATTGAATCTCAATAATCACTATGAAAACACATCCTGCGCGAATCATTGTCCGAACGGTTTCAACCATGGCTTTTGCATATCTATGTGAACGTTTAGAGTCAATCAACAGTAACTATACTTAGCTCATGAACATTCATTAACTATCATTAACTATCATAAATCAGCTATAAATTAGCTATAAATCAGCTATAAATCAGCTATAAATCCCATGAACTCCCCATGTTTCTTACTGAAGAAATCACCCATGAATCGCCAGCAAGTCACAGATGCGGTGAACGCCTTAGAGCTGCGGCCCACGGCAACGCCAAGTTCAAGGCCTGCGGTGCTGATGGCGTGCGGAATTTTGGTGAACCTGGGAATCTATGATATCTATGATCAATGGATTGGGGAAAGGGGGACAGGTTGCAGGAAAGCCACATACTTCAGGTATTGAATGGGAAACTCCTATGGTTTTCTGTAGATTCTCCCTTAAAGCAATAAAAGGATATGACTTGGGCCTTGGGGCCTTTGGGAATCTATGAATTGTGGTTGGTTGTGCTTACTTTTGAAGCCATCTTCTGGTGATTTTCATTGATCTGGGGAATGATTTGACGTAATCAATTATGCACAAGCAACAATCATATATTTGCAAATATTAAGGAAGGTGAGGCTCCCAAACGATAGTTAAGTTGCTGGAAAGAACTAGGTGAATTCTATGCATCATTATGATAGATATATCGAACTAGTTAATGGGTTTAAAACCAATCAATAACTGTGGCTGCTCACCGTGTATGATTTGGATTAATTTTGGGAATGTATGATGTTTTGTGTTGGTATTTTGGGTTTTCACTTGGGTGTTTAATTCAAGGTAATATATCTACTGTGATTTTGTTTGATTGATCAGTTTAAGAATGCAATTGAGTGGTTACTAAAGGACATGAGCAAGAACAAAGTGACCGTAACAATGTAACAATAATAATCATGATTAAACAGAATCACGCGCGTAGATTCTTTCGAGTAGCGGAGCAAAAGCCAAAGTGGATACAATGTGGGGCCGCCAAAATATTGATTTGCTTTATAATTTGGCTACGCATTGGGTTATGGTGAACCTGCCTACAGTTGTACAGTATGAGTTGCTTGGGTTTATCATTACCAACTTATAACTGACTGGCGGGGTTCACATGCGCATTTTGGAAACGTCCAAGTCATGAGGTAAACCCAATGGCCCCCTACAGTAGCGTTCTTGCATGCATAGAAATAAGTGTTGGATTTTCCTCTCTCTCCTCTCAAATTGTTGAATGTGCTTCGTTTCTGCTTTCTGCTAATTTTCCTTTTTGTTCACACATGCAATCAATGCATTTCAATGTGCTGGTGATTGGCACTTGGAGCTCTTGACATTGGCTCGTGCTAACAATTTTAGCGGCCAATTTCCAATGTTGCCACTTGCCCTCTGGGACTTTAACAAAGCTATTGACAATCCCCATGTTTAAAAGGAAAATCAACGCACCACATGGGCCATGGCTTCCAGTTCGCACTCAGTTAAATTCCAAGAGGCTAGTTGAGATTCTTTGGATGTTCCCCTTTAAAATCCCATTCAAACCTCCATTCCCTCCATTTTCTGAAAATTCCATGAGCATCCCCTTCAAAACACCGTGCAAATCACCATGTTTACAGTAATGGTTTCCCCCATCAAAATCCCATTCAAACCACCATGTTTAATGGACAATTCACATGAAAATCCCATTAAAACTACAGTAACATCTTAAACACTTTTCCCTAAGATCCAATTCAAATCACATCCCGAGCAGCGAGTCATTTGGATGGCCTCCACTCTCGGGTCTTCCGGTGCTGGCAGAGGCTGAGGATCTCTGCAGCTCATCGCGCTGTCGGCGGACCTGGAATCTGAACACTTCGGCCATTTGGAGATGATTTCCCTTAATCATCATTCCAGTGAGGTCACAGTGAGGTCGTCATAATTTACCCAGAAATAAATAAATAAATAAATATAATATTATATATATATTATAATTATAATGCTATTATATTATAATTTATAAATATACTAATGTTGATTGCATTGTGCTCCAGAAATTATATGGTAAACTATAAATATATTAACATTATATTATGTTATAGTATAATGTGTTTATACTATAATATATTATATTATGGATGATGTTATGTGGATAAGTGTGTAATTTGGTGGGTGTTGTATGTCATGTAGATGTGTACATGTTCGACGTCTTCACTACCAACCACAGTCAGTTCATCACGAACCTAGAAAACCGAACTTCGGCAAACCTCCTGGTTAATCATCACTTCCACTTCGAAAAAGGTGAACCACCAGAAATACAACGCAGTGTCCCCTAGTAAGCTATGTTTGTTGGTCAACTACTTCGACATATCTATATAATTATCCATAAATCATGTATATAGAATTCAACTTAGTTCAATTAGCTTAGCTACCGAACTGGAGCACCACCTTTGAACATCACCCATCCGCTTCCGCGACCGCACCGAAGCCAACTGATTCTCCAAATCGGCCACCAAGGTCTGAAAGCCATGCGGCCACCAATGTTGGATGCCGATGGGGTTGATCAATTTGGGTTACTGGTGAATAACTGAATGACTTATTTACTAACCAGGATTCGTATCATATTTCATGGTGACTGGTTGGCATTGGATAGCAATGGTCCAAATTGGTTAAATGGTGGTTAATCGTGGCTTATAATGGATTATAATGGTTTGTAGTGCTTAATCATTGTTCGTAAATGATCATAAATGAGTTTATTCAATAGAACATCAGCAGGAAACCGTTTTTTTGTCCTTCATGTATGTATTGTTTTTTTCTGTAAATGGCATGGTTTGGCCAAGAATGTTCAAATTCAACATTAAGCCATCAATTGTAGGCATCTAGGATACCATGAGGTTTTTTTGGAATGACTATCCTCCAATAAATCAACATGAACAAACATAGATATGGACAGCCCTCTATGAAAGTATATCTTCCTTGGCAAGGGATTCTCAGTATCTATCTTAGTGTGCTGGAAGGAAATGGAACAGCATAAACGGCAATTAGTCATGCGGTATGGCTTTAAAATACCACTTTTGAAAAACACATTGGAAAATGAATAAACTTGGCACTGGGTATGCCACAATTGGGTTTTCTACATCCCCTTGAACTGACATAGACCGTGCCAGTTTTGGGCTTCCTTTTGGGGGCGTTGTCTGTGAAGCCATTTCCCCTCTCCAATAGGTGAAAAACGCCTAGTGTATTGTAGAATAACCATAGTTGAACCAACTCTGGCGCCACAAAAACAGTTTGCCGTGCCTGCAGCCTGCCCACTTCCTCATCCACATCATTCTTCTGCACCTGGCAGTGAATGAGGTTGATTCCTTCAACCTGGGAAGGGATAAACGAGTTGTGGACTCATCTTACGACCAGGGTTGACATGGTTGGAGCAACCCTGTCTTAGGTTGATGCTTAAAATCCCATCCAATGTGGTGCCCCCCCAATAAATAAGTTGCTGCATAAACCCTATTAACTGTAGTTATATAAATAAGTTATAAGTATCATAAACCATAGTTCTTAGTTACTGGAGTTATTTTTTGCACCAACTTAGCTATCGAAAAAAAAAAAAAACAGTAGTCCTTTGGGGGCCCCACTTTGTCTCCGAACACAACCGCTGCCTCCAAGGTGTAAAGCTTCTCGGAGAGCTCATCGAAGACACGCTTCCCCTCCTCGTGCACCCGCTGCAGAGATTGCTTGCGCCTGGCCATGGATGTTTTCTCAATCCTGTTGATATTACAAGTCATCCCAAGTCTACTACATTACAAACATATAGCAATATACATGATCATACATGTGATTACCCATAGGATCCGTGTATGCTATATATGGTAGCATGGATCCCATCAATATACCCCCAATGTTAGCATATATACTAGGGCCATGGATCCTATGGGTTATGTCATTCACATCCAGCCTGGCTTCGCTGGAGATGCCCTCACTGGTGTCCAGAAGCTGCTCCAACTGCGCCCAGTCGCTGCTGCATTAGACATGCATCTAAAATATCATAGTTCATCTTACCTTAGCATGCATATGTATATATATATATATAACTTACATATATATATATAATATTACATTACATTACAATATTAGATCATTGTGTATATATATATATAAACAATATACAAATAGGCGTACATCCCATCTCATCACCAAGAGAAAGCATGATCTCTGCAACCAGATTTGACAGATTCGTTTCGGTTCCGGATTCCCTCCTTCAAACGGACGTCCGTTTGTTTCAGTAGAATCATCACGCGCGCAGTGCGCTATATTCATCCCATGCGCCCTGCTCCATAAGATTCTGGGACTTCCGAGATCTTCCAAGTCAAAACTAGAATACACGCCCCCTAAAGTGGGGGCTGAGGGCACTGGCCAAAAACATCAAAACAGGTCTGCAGTGAATGCTTTGACCTCTTTTCTCCGTTCTCCATGTGGATGTGGTTCAAAGATAGGGCAATGGACTTACAAAGGCTCCAAGGGTCATCTCTAGAAACGTTAGAATGTCACCAATTGATCAGGCTGAGCCACACCTAAAGCTACCCTCCAGTGTCATCAAACGTGGCTGGGAAATTCCCGAGCTAAAATTGAGGTTTGAATGGAAACATCATTATGGAAACATCATCTATAAAATCTATCAACGAGTGATTTTCCATTGCCATGTTTGATTACCGGATGCTAGTTGATTATAAAATGGAATGAAAATGGGAGGTCACATGAGGTCCCTAATGATCAACCATCGACGGAATCGATGTCCAGGGCTGTGCCGTCGCCGCCCACCTCCTGACTATGCCGCAGCAAGATCCGCAACTGCGCCAGGAGGTAACGACACTGCCTGCGATGGCTGGGCCCCAGCTGGGCTGGGCAGTGAGTCATTCAGCGAGTTACAGCTAGCATCATAACCATGGCAAAAACCAAAAACGACAAATTAACCACAACAAAAATCCGACCAAGGTCGAATTTGTGTGATGTGAAAGTCGGTTCTTTCAGCCCAGCCTGTCAGACATCATTTGCCGCGGGGACAAGTCTTCGTCCTCCAAAGCCGTCCCCGGTAGGTCCTGCAACGACTGATTTGAGGTCCATCTTGTGGCGATTTTGCTGGACCTCCCTTCTCTTATGCTCGTCACTTGGTGATCCCTGTGAAGAGTTAGCTTAAATTGGTACATGTTCATTAATGTGTAATCCCTTGATCATCCATAAACATCCATTGATGTGGGTAAAACAATGTCAAAAACCATCCCTCAAATCACCATTTTTATAGGGGTATAAACCAGTCCCAGTCATGGGTGGTTGATGGCATTGTTTTAACCACATGATATGCACATGAAGTCACCCATGAAGTTCCCCATGAAGTCCCCAGGTCATCCCACCTGTTGTGACGCGAGGATATTATCTCGCGCCTAAGTGGCAACTTGACATAGCTGATGCAGCCGCTTACAGCTGGTTGAGGGGCATTTCCTTACCTTGTTTGCCCTCCAAATGCCACGAAAAACGTACGGGAATTCTGAGGTCAAACACCATGTTTATGGGCACTTGGAGGGTCTAGGTAGATATCCTGACCAATTGGGTGCTAGTCCATGCTAAACCCCCTTCACCGAACAATCACAAAGGCTAGCTGTCCGGGATGCATCGCAAAATCTGGAAATTCCTCCAGAACCAAACCCCAATAAAATGGCGTTAGACCATAGTAACTGTATTATGACATATGGCCGACTCCATGCATATATATATATATATAAAATTCATGATTTAATCCTCACATTTCTGACCACTGCAGTTGAATTAAGAATATATACTGTATATACCTATATATATAATTATATATATATATATGTGTATATGTGATAAGAGACGTCATGTTACTTTAACAGGGCGTTTTTTTTCACAGCAAAGTTTCAGCTCCGTATAGCTCTCGTATCAGCTTCATGTTCATCCCCTCCGGCTCCACCGATAGTCAAGAGACGGCGCGCAGTTGTTTCAGCTGGTCTTGTTGCAGTTGAACCTGGTCATGGATGGTCATGGTTTTCGTGACTGCAGGATCTACAACAACAAAATCACCACCTTTCTTCGATGAGAAAAAATACTTTACTTCGTGTGATCCCCACCATGACATTTATCGATTTGTTACTGGCAAATCTTCTGGCATTCTATCTGGCATATCTTCTGGCATATCTTCTGGCATATCTTCTGACATCCTATCTGGCATTCTATCTGGCATATCTTCTGGCATTCTATCTGACATTCTATCTGGCATACCTTCTGGCATTCTATCTGGCATATTATTTCTGGCATATGTTCTGGCATTCTATCTGGCATATCTTCTGACATCCTATCGTGCATTCTATCTGGCAAATCTTCTGGCATTCTATCTGGCAAACATTCTGGCACTTTATCTGGCATACCATCTGGCATTCTATCTGGCACATCTTCTGGCATTCTATCTGGCATATCTTCTGGCATTTTATCTGGCATATCTTCTGGCATTCTATCTGCCATGCTATCTGGCGTTCTATCTGGCATATCTTCTGGCATTCTATTTGGCCGTTGAGGTCCAGCGGTGCTCACTGAGCTCGGAAGGCCCAGGTTGAGGTCCAGCGGTGCTCACTGAGCTCGGCGGGTCCCAGGTTGAGGTCCAGCGGTGCGCACTGAGCTCGGAGGGTCCCAGGTTGAGGTCCAGCGGTGCTCACTCAACTCGGAAGGCCCCAGGTTGAGGTCCAGCGGTGCTCACTCAACTCGGCAGGTCCCAGGTTGAGGTCCAGCGGTGACCAGTGTGCTCAGACCCTTGCAGTTGAGGTCCAGCAGTGGCCACTCCGTGCGGAAGTTGGCGAAGAGCTTGGCGAAGAGTTGGCAAGGCGGAAGTGGACATGGAAGTGAAGGCAGAGGTGGTGGAGGAGAAGGAGGAGGAGGAGGAGAAGACAACTCTGATAAAATCTAGCAACCCTCACCTGGCAGGTGGGGAAAAACATGATTGTAGACATGTCTGAGGAGTGGTGTCAACGATGGTCGAACAGGTGCAAAAATCTTTAAAAGTGATGCCATCTGTTATGTTTGTTGCTATAAAATGTTAGAGACCCCATTGACTAGTTCAATATCTCTACCATAAAACCCCAGTTATATCAGTGATAAACCAACTTTGATACGGATCTCCAGCACCGCCTTTGCAGGTTTTGACCCAGATCAAATTATATCCTCGTGATAATCCATGATACTAGCATTGTTGTTGATGTGTTTTTACCATTCCGATTCTTATTACCCTCTGGTTATTTAACATAGCCATAGAAAATGGTCCATTTATAGATGGTTTACCTATTAAAAATGGTGATTTTCCATGGCTATGTTAAATAGCCAGAGGGTATATGATGTGATACGTACTATCATTAGCTGTGGCTTCTCAAGGGTCCCAGGATCTGAAGACACACGCCTTGTTCTCAAGTGCTACAATCTTGCTACCTGCGAGGCCACAAAGAAAAGAGCTGCCTGAAAACCACACATGAAAACCCATGGGCTTTGGAAGATGATTTTGATTTGAATATATATATATAGATAAGATTAGGCTCTATCAGGTCCTTTGATCTTCTAGCGCTTACCTTTCATTAAAACACGCACAGCTACTAGAAATTCAAACTGCGAAAATCATCTGCAAAAATGATGACCATATCCAAAGTTGCAACCATTGCCGTGCTGAATTTTCAGATGATGCTTTCTTCGTGCGCCAAACGAAGTCGCGGCCACTGGCTGCGGCCAAAACCCCTCCTGCAGCTTCAGAAGCTTCGGCATCTCGCTGCCTGAGGAGTGCAACAGTCGACGTGAGGCATCTAAAGTTAGGGAACTACATGAAAGGCATCAGAAATACATTGTAAACATCATATTGCAAACAGTAAACACATGCACATCAAATATCATCAAATTGTAAATCATTCAAAACTACTCAAAATCAAAACATGCCATTAATTGAAACATGAAGTTCAAAATTGTGTAAATCACTTTGGCAATCAACCGCTGCATCTTTGGACATCTCAGGATCAACACTTAAAATCGATTAATAAACCTCTTCTGGGCTTTTGAGTTGGGGTCCCCCAACTGGCGCCTGATCTCTGACGCCCGGGCACTTTTTTCGGACGCCAGCTCCTGCCGATCGCAGGCCCGATCTGAGCACCGGGCAGTCCAAAGATCTTTTTGAAGCCACCGATTTATGGCATGCTCAAAAGCATATCCGACATGTTTCTTCTAAATGGCAAATTGATATCACTAATTATTGATCAACATATAAATCATACTTTGTCATAGTCGTTTTAGAGCATGCTTTCAACATGTCCCAACCACTCAGCCCAGTTTTGCGCAAATAAACCCGCAACTTTTTCGCCGCGAAAAACGGCGCAAGGCAGAGTCTCGGCGCTGGCTGTGGTTGACCTACGCCAAACAATGAACACACACTCAATCCCATCCTGCTAATTAATTAGCCTAATGTTAGTTACACCCCCATGGTGGCTATTGTTTTGACGTGGATTTGTAACACGAAAACAATTCTCCGGGAAATGAAGCACTTGCCGCATGCCACAAATACCCAAGCTCAAATCTTAAGCATTTCACATGTTCCATTATTTGCACAGCTTAGATGATTTAGATGATACCGTAATTGGCCAAATGTTTTGCAAGTGGCTTATAAACATGAAAATTGATTATTAACCACCATTTGTCTTCCACACCCAAGTACAATATTTTGGGGATATTCCATGGGTACACCGTCTCGCTCACTGGCCATGGCTTTAAGATCAGAGGAACATTGGTTTTGAAGGTGGAAATTCATTACATGCATAATTGCCGT